TTTATAGATTCAAGTGCAATCACAAGAAGCTTTGTGACTGCTTTATCTTCACCGAGCTTGTCTCGGCACTTCAGGTTGAAGATGTGTTGTCTATTGGCGTTTGATAATAGTCGATATGATCTGTGGAAGTCAAGCATGGATAATAATGCGTACTACTGACGCCCAACAGACATCACACTAGATATTATAGTAGCTCGGCTCTGTTTTACGCTAGTATAAAAACGTCGGCGCAGAAGCATAGGCCGTGTTTACTATTCTCCAGATTAATCTCAAAGTTTCACCAAATATTAGGTCCGTTGAAGATCCAAGATGTAGACTAGTTTCAGCGTGTGGCATCGGAATGATGGCACTTTAATTGGAGCCTTACAACCATTTGATTCAGATATGCATCAACGATATAGTATTAATGAAGTTTAAAATCAATGCATCCAAAACATATGGTATATGACGCACGATATCGTATTAGCTGAGTATATGTTATCTTCATTACGCAGCAACGCAAATATCAGGTGTATGTACTGTCAACACGTATGCATCAAACATAGTGGTGACACATAATGGAAACAACTTGCCTTAAATGGATGATATTGTCAAAATTCGATGCTTTATCGATGAGGCTTAAGAACAACAAGCAATATGTTCCGTGGCATGTTCCTGGGTAGAAGATACATTCCGTGACAAGAGCGGCACGGACAAGGAAGGCTCACAAACAGAGATATTTGTGACAAGCAAAACAAGATCTTCTGCTTTTCTCTGTCGTTGTCACGATATCAACTCGCAATTCATCGTGCTCTAGTTTAGCAATGAAGTAAAGCGTTCATCACTAATATTCTTTTGTTCTCGAATGATGTTGCTTTTCATAAGACTTTAGGCTGATGATAACTGCAAAACTTTGTGGTGCCTTCATTTGATAATCTTCAGACCTTGCTGAAAATCTTTTTTGCGTCATTTATGTAAGACGTTTTTCTATTTTTGTGAGGTGCGTATATACAAGAAAGAACATGGGTACTATCTAAAAGCCATTTCATGGGTTTCAGATAACAATTAACTCTTATAGTCCACCCTGCGCATTTTCAAAGTGACTTTACGCACAAATCGACGGAGACAGACTTTCACTTACTTGTAATATCTCACACCTACGTGGAAATGAATACGAACATGATTGAAACATGATCAACACATAACCATACATCAATGACGTCACAATCTTCATATGACTGTGCACGTATAGTCTAGCGTCGGTACGTGCATCATGGTCTATCGTAAATTGTTATGTACGTTTTCTGGTTAAAACCATGTGATGTCTGCTTGCAGTATCAATATGTTTTTGCGAAGAATAGAGTATCTTCTTTTCTTGAGGCATACACATACTCGCTTCGCCTGTAATGTCCAGATAAAACGTAGCTTGTATTGTATAATTCAGGAAAGATTTGCCCATACGTTCCTAGATCCATATTCACGGTCAGTGCATATAATCGCAGACATCTTCTCGCGTCAGTACACGCTATGAGCTTCCGAAGAGAGACGAACCAACTTACTCAAAGTAGGTCAGCTAGATTTTTTGGGCAACGTTTGTTCTTAAGCGCTTAATCATGACATGATTGCAATTGGTCAGAGAAAGGATACAAACTTTCAATGAGACGCTGTTCATTGAAGCGGCTTTGAAACACCAATGATGTGGCGACATCACCACAATTGTGATACAGTCACCTTTCTAGCGAGCACAACTCACGCACGCACGTAACATGTTGCGTATCCGACTGCGAACTCAAATCAAGCCGGTGAATTTCTTTCCTTTGAAGTATCGCATCCCTGACTGTTAAAAATATTTACAGTGAAATCGTATCAATTTTGTCGCATTTGACGATACTCGACAAGTCGACAATCAGGCATGACTCGACAAGTCGACGACAGCCGACGAATGCGTGATATAAATATTGATACTGTTTTTATCCTATTGATGAGTGTTTGAAGTGGAAGTCAGCGGGAGTGTGAAGACCTACGATCATTCAGCTGTAAATTTTATATTGATAAACAGATAGGATGAATGACTTAGGCAGAATATGCTTCGACTGGTTCATATTCGATGTGAGGCTTACGTGCTTTTCCCTCTTCCAGTCATAGGTTGTACCTAAACTGGCGTGGTGTATAAGAACAGTTGGAAAGAAAAATATCAGGTCGGCAAGCTTAAGTTCTTGAGTTCTAGTCGGTGAATCTGGGGTCGTCAAGTCATAACTTGATGAATATCGAGTCAGATAATATCAGGTCGGTGGACGCTCGTATATAGAGGAGGGTGCGGGAAGACCCGAAATCCGCTTCATCACGTATGTGTATAAGATAAGTAAGAAGACATAGAGCTATTCACAAGGTTCAGCAAATCATCAAAATAATAGGCCAATAAAGTGTAGAATTTACGATTCCAAGTCACACGTACACCTAAGGTAAGTCCCTGCGTGGTCTTGAGTACGCCTGCCGTCGAGCCTCGAAAGGTGTACCTTGTAGAGGTTTCGACTGGTACAGCCAAGACGATGATCGAGCTAAGAGTGGGCTCATGCTGCCAGCGAAAGAAAGAGCTCAAAGACGAGACGATCAACCTCAGGTGGAGCGACGTTTTTGAGTATCGTCAATCAACGAGCCGGTGAGCATAGGAAAAAGTTTCCGTTCTTATTACAAGCAGGTGGGCCTTAGCCGTGGGCACTGTAATTCTTCTTGTTGGGCGTACACTGTGTCTAATGACCTGTAAAATCGCGCACAGTGTCGGCGTTCAGTCCCTGGTGCGAGGTCACACAAGTGAAAGGTTTAGGAGCTGCTGAGATCAGGAAGGCTTCTGGAGGATTGGCTGTAAATTACGATGAGGTGACGTCCATAACTAGACACTAGTGACGAACTACGAAGGGGCTTGTCCTGACGTACCAGTCGGTTTCGTCGACCTCGCTCGGCGATTGTTGTGCTTGTGCGATAAGTTGTATTACCACATATTTGGCTAACTACTGGACCACACTGAGCAACGACACTTGTACTGAAACAGCACAAGCTATTACACTGAACACAGAACAGTCTGGTGTCTCGAAACCTCACGTATGCTGTACGAGCAGAAAAGAGCCTATATTAGTAGCGAACATGCCTAGTAAAAGAAAAAATGGTAGAACTGAAAATGGTATAATAATTACTCTTCATATATTCTCTTTCGCTTTTTGTCGGACCTCAATTGCAGTAATTTTTAAGTTCATGATATAGCTACCCGCTTACCGCCCATTACGCGCGTCCACTAGCAATTATAAGTGTAGTTGGTTAGTACAATGGGCTATGTCAAATAATAAGAGGAGAAGTGACGAATATTGCCGTCGACTGTAATATCCTCCGATATTGTTAGCAAAGCAAAGCAAATGTTGGAGAATATTATCATCTAAGACAGTATTCTCAATTTTTAAGTTTTGGTTTCAATGATACGGACCCCCCCTGCCCCGATAATAAATGGTGGTTGCAAACTGGTATTCTGTCGGAATTCGAGTGCCAATGAGCAACGGCTTGGTCAGGTACAATCAACAGAAGCACATCACATACAGAAGCAATGTCTAATCGTCTAGAGACGCATACTAGGATATGATTTGGAACCGGTGGCATCCAGGCCTAAAGTACAAGGGCTTGTCGCAGGTGTGCACGTCACGTCGTCACACCATACGTACGAGCGCGGGCACGAGCATTCAATGGGCATGGAATGAATGTTATAAAGTCAAACATTTCAAACAAAAGCAGCGTATTTTGCATCGCATTACGACATAGTCGACGTTGGCGACTTTATCGGGGGCAACATGTGTGGAAAACATGAGTCGATGGTATGCACTTCCCCGGATGAACAGCGAACTGCGTGTTTTGGTCATGGATGACGGCAGAACACTTCTTCATTGTGCTAGTAGGACCAAGCATATAATAGAGCAGACTAACGTACGAACGGCTTGGACAAAAGAGGAGTTATTGCTGCTGGCTCAAGCCTGGCAAGAACATCCACAAGATTCCAGTGTAGCAAGCGACAGAGTTGCAGCGAGATATCATGCCGGTACCATGCATTCAAAGCTCATTTACACTCGACCCATTGCGCTTGCAGATGATTCCAGTCTCCGCAATGCCGCCACATGTAGCTATTCAAAAGACAGTTGTGAGCATGTGTACGTCTTCTTCGTCTGAGCTTTGCCGGGTCGTAAGAAACACATGAGGACGAGTTTGCTGCGACGAAAATTGACCAGCGAGAGTGTAGAACGACAACAGGTGGTAACTACGTACAGCTCGTTGTCGACGAGAAGGTCTTTCGACACTGGCCAAGTCCTCCGGTCGCTAATCCAGGACACTCAGGCTTAGCGACGGGTTTGTGAAATTCAGAGTACTCGAGAAGCTACAAAAGGTGGGGAAAAGGTCGAAATGGACGACAACGAGACTGAGAAAGTTGCACTGATGGTGGTGATACGCTAGACGCACTGGACCGGTCACATACGTGGAAGTCGAGCGCCGGTGCTTTGTCAGTCGCGGCCGTCAAGTTTTTGGTCTCGTGTAACGAAAGCGACGTAGCTCAGCGCCAAAACGTCGCGTCGCTCGTGGCGAAACGTCTGGTCGAGATGATTGCGAAGGCAGTTTGAGACCAACAGGAACATGACTTGACGCATTCAAAGCAAAACACGCGACTGAAGGATCACGATACGACATGAACAAGTCTGCTGAATGCGCAGCGCAGACCACAAGTTATGTGTTACAAAGAGAAGCCATTGATCGCAAGAAACTTGTTCTGTATCGATGCAGGAAGCAGGTTGAGCTCATTTACGACGGTGCTTGTTTTTTTTTCTGTGCATGCGTTCGCACAACAGTCTCTCTCTCTCTCTCTCTTTCAGTTTGGTGTCTCGGAACAAGACATGGAACTCGGTACCAAAGAGGTCTGATGTCAAGAGGCGACACATGGAGCTATTTCAATGCCCGACAGACATATATTCGCAGGACAGCTCGACTCCTTGTTACGAGGTGCTACTAGTGCCGTTGCACTCGGGAGCCAGCAAGCATTCATTCTCCCAGCGCTTTGTAAAGTACTCGTTCACCCGACGGCCTTCGTCACGTCTGCGGAGCCATTCCGCTTGCTCCTTTGCTGCAAGACCGGGAAAGCGATCAACGGCCATGTCGTGATCCGTGTCAACGTCGTGTAGGAGCACTGAGTCCGTGACGCGGTCGTAGCGAAGGCGTTCGTGGCCGCGTACGATCGACATCTTTCGCGTGGGATTGTTGCTGTACACAATCCTCTCCCCAAACTTGACCTTGCGCTTGAGCGACCGCCCAACTCCGCTTTGAGCGAACCCTCCTTCAGGTACGCCCGTGATGTCTGCGAGCGTGTTCAAGAGATCGTACTGCTCGGCCGCATCGTCAATGACGAGCCCGGCGGCATCAGCGAGTCGCCCTTCCGCGATAATCGCACCGGCCACTCGAGTCGCCGAGACGTCGCGATCCTCCGGCACGTTGTTGCCAAACTCAGGCCCCTGTCCGTGGTCGCCTACGATCACGACAATGGTGTCGTTCAGCACGCCGGCATCAGCCATGCGGTCCATGAACTTTCCGAGCTCGAGGTCGGTGAAGTACCGAATCTCGTGGTAGTTCTGGATGTTGTCTGCGTACGGCTGTCCCTCGTAGAGAGCCGAGAAATTCGGCTTGGCAGCTTCGTCAAACCATCGGGGCCGTTGCTTGAAGTCCACGTGGCTGGAGATCGTGTAGTGCGTGAGGAAGAGGGGCGTCTTGGGCTTCAAGGTCGCGCGGCGCGCGCTCTGCTCGCGCGTCTTGTTGAGCAGTAGGTCGCCCAGTAGCTGGAAGCTCAGGTCATCGTGGACGCCCCAGTTGAACCCGCGCTGCTCCGCGCCGTACCACTCGTCCGGTGTGATGCCCAAGTCCGTCTCGGCCAGCGCCATCATGTCTTCGCGGCCCCAGACCGTGTCGAAGCCGTGCGACGGGAGAAAGCGGTCCCAGGCGTCGTAGTCGGTCTTGCACCCCGTGGTGAAAACCGTCTCGTACCCCTTTGCCGCAAAGAGCTGCGGCAGTCCCGAGAGCTTCGTGTCGTTCCGGCCCCCCGTCGTGCCTGACGCGGTCGTGCTGTCGTACGGCAGCTGTCCGAACAAGACGCTCTCGACGGACCGACTCGTGCGCCAACTCGACCACAAGTTGCGCAGGGCGACGCCGCGTGCGGCCCATCGATCAAAGTGCGGCGTGACCGTGAGGTTCGAGCCGCGAAACAACTGCGACGGGTCGTCGTCCCCCACGAGGTAGCGCGAGTCGTGGAACCGGAACGACTCGACGACCAGCACGAGGACATTTGGCGGGTCGTCGCGCGCGACCGTGACGTCAAACGCCACCTCTCCGTGGAACCCCGTGGTCTGTCGATACAGCGAGTGGCTGCCAAACAGCCTGTAGTCCTCCGTCTCAACGTGGATGAACTTCTCTGGCCACGGCAGACTGACGCTCAAGTTGGGGAGCGTCGGCTGCAACACACCTCCCAATAGCTCATTCAGCGACGTGTTGAGCGCTGCGTAGGCAACGAGCGGCGACGTCGATCGACTCGCGAGCACGGCGAGCACCGGTAGCGCCAGGAGACTCAGGACGGCAACAAGGCCCTGTTGGACGTGCACATTCCATTTTGGACGTCGGCTGTGGCTTTGCAGCAGGAGTCTGTTGTTCTCGTGCTGGTCCATCAACGTCTTGGACGCCTCTGTCGCGCCCGACGCGGCCGTCTCTGCGACCCGCACGACCATATACAGAGGCGTCGCGTCGGCCTCACCTGGTGGCGCTTTCCAAGTCACGCTCTTTGGACTGCGAGTCGCTGCTGCAGTGTCCGTGCGCGCGTCACGTAATCGCTTCTGCTCTTCCTCTATGGCTGTGGCGCGCAGGCAATGGACAAGTCGGATGGGGTGCCAGGACGTGAGGTCCATATACGCCGTCCACGTCCGAGCGCTCGCAAAGAGCGTAACCACGAGAACGAGGACAGTCGCGTGGACGTACCCTTCGTACCACTCGTCGATGGCGATGGGCACAGCACTGATGTTGTCCTGTTCACTGATGGCCATTGCCACGAGGGCAAAGGTGAAGCGCATGCCCCGTAGCCGCACGAGGAGCAAGTCGGTCCAGAACGGAAGTAGCAGTGCAACGAGCAGTAGCCACGAGGCAGTGAACGTTGCCACGCTAATGCCGCGAGCGACCAGAGCGCTATGATTGCTCGCGGTGCGGGAGCTCTGCTGACGCACGTAACGCAGAGAGACGTCGACGAGCCACAACGTACTGACGAAGTACGTTGCACAGACAAAGTCTTCGACAAGGCCGAGCGTCAGTGTCGCGAGGACGACACGGGACGTGGCGTCTTTGGACGTCGCGTACATGGACATTAGTGCCGGAAGCGAAAAGAGGCGATAGCAGAGAAAGACGAGCAGCACAGAGCTGTAGACAAAGAGCCACGAGAGATATGGACGCGACGCGAGCAGCGGAGGCGTTCGTGAGGTGATGGACCACGTGGGCGTTGATGCTGAAGGACTGTGGGCGACGTCGGTATCGACAGGAGAGTCGGGTGTTGGCTGCGGACGGTCGTCGTCGTCGTCGCTCGTGAGTTGAATCATCGCAGTGTTTTCCTCAAGCGCGACGTGCGGCGTGCAAAGGACGTTGGGGAATGAACGGAGCAGTGAGCGGTCGAGCTCACGGATTGTCAACCAGAGAGGTGGACAGACAGACGGATGGACCAAGAGGTAGTGCATTCGGACGACGGGTGTTGTTCAGGTTGACTTTGCACGATATCTGGCGTCGAATATCGCTCGAGCCGTTTGTCGGGGCGATTGGTCTCCTTTTGAGGTCACCTTTTTTTGCTTCGTCACTTTGTCCACCGACTCGACAGGGTACGATAGCTACTGTTTCGCCCAGTTCATCGAAGACGCTGCTGCGTGTACGATACGTTGGCGCTTCCGGTTGACTTGGCCTGACTCGGTCGTCACAGCCACGAGAGTGTGGTCGCTCTGGTGACGATCGTCGGTGGTTTCCAGCAAAGCGGTTCCATCGAACGCACGGCATTGGATCGTTTCGATGCCTGATACTCTGTCGGTCCGTTGGGGCTGTGCTTTGCTTTTTTGTCAACGACGAGTTTGACGACTGCCTGACTTGCCCTGTAACATTGTCTTTCTACGCTTTGCCGACTCGAAGCTCTCGTTTCGATTCTGCTTTGATCGGACCGATGCGTAGCTGCCTGATGCGCATCAACCTGAATGTTTCGTCTCTCGGACCTGCAGTGTCTTGTGGAAGAACGCGGCTGAAGCCATGAAGTTGCGAGCTTCGATGCGATACGGCTTGACGACGACCGATGGACATCCCTTCTTTTTTTACACTGTCGTCCCAACTATCGGCTCGTACGTGACCGGATGTCCATCAACACCCTCAACGACGTCAGTGTTTGCATGATATGTCCGCCAGAGCTTGCAGGTTGATGCGATCCTATCACTGGCCTGCAGCGCTTGTTTATCACTAGCTTTGCAGCTCCGAGCTGGACGCCGACATCAACGTTTCTCACACTCGATCGATCGGTTGACCAACGCCACTCGCGCCTGTCGGTGTCAAAAGAAGACCGGGAGCGTGTGTTGTCGTATCGTTTGTTGGCACATTGTTTGGGTAGAAAGCGTCTGACCTCGCGCTGTTTGACTGACGTTGTACGGGTGACCAGTGCGCCCGTTATCGGCTCTCCGCCTTCGTTGCCGTCGTAGGCATCTTCTGCGCATTGGCAAGGTCGACAGAGACAAGCAGTAACACTGCGTGCCTCGATCGAATGTCTCGATATGCGGTCGTGTGTGTAGCTCATCGGATGGATCAATTTGTAAGAGTCTTCCACTTTTGCATCAATGTTCGGACGTTCATTATTACCACTCGACGTTATCGAAAACGCGACATCGCAAACAACTGACAACTAAAGCTTCCGCCATCCTCTGGTTCACTACTTTGCCATCTTCTTACCTTACGTGGTGGTGTTCTTGCTGCAAATGAGCCCCGTGCGAGCCCCCACCGATGCCGAGATAGAGCGAAACGCGTCCACAAGACCCTCAAGGGAGCCAGCCGCGTGCACACTTCCACCAAGTTGGTCCGAAAGAACTTTCAGTCCAAACTCACTTGCTTTGCCAAACCCAACCACAAAAGCTCGCAACCCGGATATGCTGTAGCGTTGTCGGATATCTTTCGCGAGCTTCAATCCTTGCTTAGCGTCAGCAGGACGGCCGTCCGTGAAAAAGACCATCACAGGTCGATACATATTCGTGTTCGTCCGCGAAATGATAGCGCTCGCTGCCTTCAGTCCTTCTGCGTAAAACGTCCCGCCGCCTCGGAAGTTCACGCACCGCGTCGCTGCGTTTCCAATCCTTACTCCCTCAAACACGACATGCCCATCATCCCCAAATGTGACAATCGACACGATGTCCTGATTACTGCCCCTCTGCACCTGCCCTGACATATAGCGGCGCACCCCATTCATCAGAGCTGTCCACGGTCTTCCTTTCATCGAACCCGAACAGTCCAACACGAAAATGTGGTGCGAAATGTCAGTCGACGGATGGTAGCACGCGAAGCGGTGACCGTTGATGTAGGAATAGCCGTTGCGTACAACGTACGATTCAGTGTCAACAGGAGCGTGCCAAGCAGGCAGATCACAGCTAGATGGCACTTTCCGGTCGCCTTTGTGCTCGACAGATTGGCACATGTATGGGCACTTGGCAAATGTTGCTCGCTCACGGGCCGATCCACACGGATCCTCCCACCCGATCGTCTCCCAGTATTCAGCGTGCAAAACTTCATCCACCTCTACTGTCGGCCGTGGTACGAGCAGCGCCGAATCGCAGTGGCGACGATGGTCGCGTGCCCCAGAATAAACGCACTGGTCGACGCTATCGTAAGCACATTTCAAATAATGAGCATGTCCTCGTCCAGCAGTAGAGCAGAACAAATTGCACATTTCTGCTATCGCATTCTCTCCTGGCGCATATTCGTGGTCCTTCCACTCAATAGCTTCCTCCTTACTCACAAAGCGCATGTTTCGCATGTTTCCGTGTGCTGTTGAGTGCTTTCCGCGATGGCCTACTTCTTGGTCGCAATAATAGTCACAGGCTTCGCATTTTACCGTACAACCATGCGCGCTCGTCCTTCCCCCGAACGATCGCTTTGCACAAGAGTGCGTCCCCCCTCCGTGGTCTGTTTGACCCGGCTGTAGCACGATCGCACATCTGTTGCGCATGCCGATCATTTGCTTCGACTCGTAATCAAACGTGTCGCGTTGTCCACTAAATCGGGCCGACGACACTCGAACAACTGTGCTACAAATCCCAGCTTCTTCACAAATCCCGTTGCACATGTGACTCGAATCGCACATGTGCCTTCCACCCTCACTAGCACGACGCGGGCCGAACGGACATACCAATCCGTTCTCCCACTCAAATCTAGCCACCAAAGAAGGGTTGTCGTGGAAATGGTTTACTGTGCTGCAACTTCTTTTGCACCCTCTCATCTCGCATAAAAAATTGCATTGCGTCTCCCTGCACTTGTGCACACTGTGGTTATGCTCGACACTTTGACAACACTTTCCTCCACAATGTGTTGCACTACATGCCATTCCACAGATATGAACTTTCACTGAGCACCGATGGTCCCCGTCATGCTCCGCATTCAGTGCACAATCAGTTTCACAATTCGGAGCATGCGACAAACCGCATACATTCCCGCACGTATGATCCCTCTTTCCGCACTTGCATTTGCCCTCATGGCCAGCCTTGCCAGCACAGCGTGGCATGTCTTCTTCTCCTTGAAAGCGTGACTGCACGCAATATTCACAAAAGCCGCGGCACACGTGGTTCATACCGCAATCATGCTCCATGTCGAATGTGTGAAGCGACGAGCGCATACACTGAAGCCGGCATTTAGCGCACTGATGCATGCACCGTTGCAAAAGTGCTTCGAACGGGACAAGGTGCAACTGCTCGATATCGTCCCATTCGTCCATGAACTGATCGGGTCCCACGTACTCCTTGATCCAGAGAGCAACCTTAGCCTTGCGGCGACGTACCAAGAACGACAGGAAGATATCGAAATGCGCAAAGTCGTCCCCCGTGATTCTCTCGGATGCATCTTTGGATGTCAAATCTAGATACCGCTGGAAAAGCTCCACAAGCACCAGATCGATGTCTTCCGTACCCGCAGCATCCACATCGCACACCGAGGGACCGAAATCGACGCTTCCATCCTCAATGCTGTCAACAGCAATTTCACACCCAGCGTCTGGCCAGCATTGTAGCCATTCAGGGTGGTTTCGAGCAAGCGTGTTGAATCGAAGTACTTCGTCTTCATTTTTTGTGCTCACCGCTGGCTGCATCAGACATTTCGCCACACTGCTTTTGGTGTAACAGTCCGCTGGTATCAGACATCCAGTGCGCAGCACGCCAGGCAACCTCCGAAGCAAGTTCTTCGTCTGCAATTGTTGCAACGTATCATCGACGGTTGTCCAGTCCAAAGTCGAAACCTTAGCCAATACCAATCGAATGCAGTCGTGAAACGAATCGCCGCTTCTGTAAGCATTCAGGGAACCTGTTTGCGAGCAAATAACCTTTTGCACTAAGTTCTTGGCATGTCTTAGTGAGGAATAGTATCCATGAGTTCCTAGTGGTGGAGAGCAATTTATGTCGACCTTTCCTGAATACATGTCGGTGAGAAAATTTTGCTCGGAATTTGCCCTCAGTAATTTGGCAATCTTCGTCGTGAATTCCGAGAGAACGCCGCTACCGTCATTCAAATTAATGTCCTTCACACTCATGTACAATCTTCCTTGGAATAGACGATCGTCATTTTTCAACAGATTCACTCCTTTCTGGAATTTCGTAAAGAGATCGTCAACTTCTTTGTCGACCCGCATCTCCATGCGAAAAATGGTGAACATTGAGAGCGATGCGTTGAGTACCGCCAGAAACACGTCTTCTTGATCGGTGCGCTCGAACGAGCCTAGACCCTCAAAATCCAGTACGACCAACAAAACACCGTTCACGATGCGCAGCGTCATCCACGCCCCATCAGTGCAGCGATTTCCTGCAATTGCAAACGATGATCCGGTCAAGTGATTCAGAAAGTAGCTTTTGCCCGTAGATTGCTTCCCCATTGACGTGACCACAACACAACGACCTTGCCACGCACTCAGTAGCGGGGACAAAAGACCGAATCGAATGGATTCGGCGATGGCTGCCGTTCCCCACGAATCTTCGTCCGTCTCACCTTCCGCATCGTCATGTGGTTGGTCCATACCATCTCGCAACAACGTTAGCGTGTTTGCCTCGGCACGGCAAATTTGGATGGGCAAAAACGTGACAAGCGTCATGAAAAATGCCGACAACGGCATGGACTCCATGCGCACGCCAGTCAGAGACGCATGACGTACACCAAGGCCTTCGGTTAAATTCAGCGCACCCATTGGCTTATTGAGTGCCATCAGATCGCTCATCAACAACGAGAAGAAATCATGGAAATTTTCCAGGGCGGCACCGAGGTTATTGCCGTTAGGACAAGTGCCGAGAATGGCCACAGGTCGTTGTGGTTCTTCATCCACTAGTCCCGTCACAGGGAACTTCTCGAAAACGTGGTAAAAAGTATACAGCCAGTGCTTCTTTCGAAGACGGGATTTGTTCTTGACAGAGTTCGGGCTGTTTCCTTCTTCGTCGTCATCATCAAATCGTCGAAGCCGAAACGATTTACTTTCCACGGCCACGTCGACTGAAAACAGGTGCAGCTCTTGTGCTACCGTGTCGACTGCCAGAATCCATTCGTCGACGCATTGCACTTGCAGATCACCAGTGAGGAATTTGACATCGAGGGGAAGCACAGGAAGATGACGGTGATCATCGAGAGAGAGACATCTTAGCTGCGCTTCAAACATACTATCAACCCCGGCCTTTACTGTTATCACTCCAACAGCAAGCTTGTCAGCAAACGGCATGAGACGACTACAAGTTCGAGCATCTTTTTCGTCGTTTACGACCACAGCAGTATTGATTTGGTCTGCATGGATATCAATACCTTGAGAGTAGCCACTAGAGTCCGACACGTATAGCGTACTCTTCAGCAAGAACACGTCGGTAAACGGCAGATCGGTCAATGTCGAACGAACAGTCAAGTCGACAATTTTGACCATTTCCATGCGCTTGAAATTCTCGTCACATTTGTACAGCCCCACGGAATCACCCACAAGGAATGCCAGCGTCCGAGACTGGCTTTCATAGTCACACACGGACGCAATCTTTCCGAGCGCGTGGATTGTCGTTTCGTTCGCTTGTGATAACTTGCAACCGTCCTTTCTTGGTGGAAAAGATACAAACTTGATAAGCATTCGCCCCATCGAAGTGCAAACATGTACCGCAGATCGTGCCTTGACGGTAAACATTGCCACATGAGCTTCGTCGGGCTTCAGGAAGTACTGACCAAGACTCTCGAAACCAACGGGCGTGTCATGTGACTCGCCTTGTCCCATATCGATCTTTACGATCTGCTCAACCAGAGATTCTTGTGCTTTCACCTCTTTCGTGCCCTTACATGTGACTCTTCCCCTGCGTATACTTGCACTCAGCTTCATCGTCAAGCCATGTTTCGACTGAAGCGTTTGGCGCAATTGCTCGAACTGGTTCTGGATAATGAGTGCCGAGCTTGCATCCGACTCACGCTCCCGTTTCTGTTCACTTTTCAGCAACTTCAAATCAGCGTCTATCGCCATCTGTAGACATTTCTCAATTGCAAGCCACCATTGCTTTTGCAGCTTCGACAGCGGTTCAGCAATTTCTTCTCCGTATAACTCAGTGGCAGCACTCTCGTTCTTCCAATCTCTTGGTAGCTGTGTAGAACGGCGCTTGGCCACAGCGTCCAAAATCTGTTCTTTCGAGCTGCTCGCACACATACTCAATACTGTCCCCGGATCTGCGTCCTGGTGGTTCAAGTACAGTTCAAAAACAGCTCGTTCGACTTCTCGAAGGCGGGTAGGAATGTCCAAATGCGGTCTCCGTTTGCGATCCACCTTCCACTTTGTGCTCAACCATTTCCGAAACGCCTCATACTCTGCGATCGCTTTTTTCTGTTCCGTCAGCTCGTTAGCGTTCACTTCCGCCCTGCTACCAGTACCAAGCTGAAAAAGTGCTTTCGACAACCCCTTCACGACTGCCCTTTGTCGATCAATCTCTTCATGCAGTCGCCTATCCGCCATGTCGAAATGCTCTTGGCTGCTTCTCTCGCATATTTCGGAAAGGGCTGCAAGCTGCGTTGCAGGCCACATATCGAACTCACGGAGAATGCTCTCGGTGAGCGTCGCTGACCGGTTGATTGTCCCGCTTATTACTACCCGGTGTTGCTCTGATTCAGCCTTCAGCCACGCCGCAAACTTCAGATGTGCAGATGCAAGAAATATTCGTTGAAATTGATCCACATATAACTCCGACTTGACTGTTTTAGTCAAAGCTAGCGCCGGGTAATTGCCTTTGAGCAAGCGCACGCGCAAGCATCCTTCCAACTTATCCTTCAGGTCGACAAACTGATGCGCCACACACTTCGTGCCATCGTGTGCATCGACTTGCTTCTCGATGGCGAACGCAACGGAGTATGAACTTTCATCTTGCTGCGTCTCAGAGTCAATCATGGCGGCTCCTAGTTGCTCCAGGTCTGACGTCGATGTGCAGCAGATGATATCGGGAGTCAAAACAGTCAGAAATCGCAGCACAAGTGTGGTCGTGTTTCGTAGATGCTGAGCTTCAAACAACTCGTCCCGGAGCCACGAAAATACAACCAGCCCAACGCCTACTTTTGCAGTGTCATCGCTGTGTGAATCACTGCAGCTCTCTCCTCCAGTCTTCACACAATAGACTCCTTCGCCTGGTGCAGTGAGCGTAGCCAAAACCTCGACTGAACACGCTTTCATGTCGACCAATGTAGCCAAGACTTGCGTTCGCTTGCCAAACAGCCCTTTGAATCTCACCTTGCCCTGGCACTTGTTCTCCAATAAGTCAGACTGCAAGAATCTTGCAAAGTCGTCGTCGAACTCGCGGGCGTCCAGAATATCAAAGTCAAAGTCACCCGGGTTCACGGACGACATCATACCAAAGCTGCGACACAGTCGCAAGACTTCCAGTTCATCTAGAATCGGCTTGACCACCTCCACCTCACACTGGGTCTCACGTACGAGTGTCAAAAGACGGAAGAGAGACTTCTTCTCCGAGCCCGAGTTGCATGCTTCACTTGTTGCCATCTGTGTTTGCTACTACTCTCGACACTGGCAAAACGATTATGCAGAGCAAGGTCGGATCCCCAGACACTCGACGAAAGCCAACGAACGAAACGATCGAGAGATTCTTCGAAAAGACCTTACCGTTGGAAATCTGGCACTGAATGTCACAAGCTGGACAGGTTGTACGACTGTGGGTGGCACTGTCGTTTTCCTCGTCAAAAGCCCTCAGAAAGTCTCTTTACACAGCGACAACAACGTTTCTGGCGTCTTACAGTTGCAAAGTCGTCAACAGCTCATCGACCGAACGAGGGGGTCGAAGACCGAGAAACACAGCCCCCTCAGTCCTTTTTTCCAATGTCATTCCTCGTCATTCCCATTGTGCGAAAGCAACAGCGCACGCACACGTGTGGTGGTCTGAACGTTAGCATAGCGACACAACCGGTACTTTGTGACTGTCGAGTGCCGTCGTCAAAGCTGCTTTTGCACCGAAGCCCTCGGGTTGCATTGGCATTTGTATCCATCCAGACAGTTTTCCAAATAGTATCCAACAAAATAAACGATGAGCGACTTGGATGGACGACGGACGTAAGGGAAAGATGTCGCCCACCTCGTTTGCTCTGTTGACAAAAACAACATCTAGCTCGACGAAAAGCGATATCTAGGTTTTATCCGATTCCGTCCTATTTCGAGCAGCAAGAAAACAAAGCGCTTTTTACCTCTGCCGTCGGAGGAACCCATTGAACACAATGTCGTCGACGCTGCTGCTGCCACTGACCCGCCGGTCGCTGCCTTTGGCCTCGTCACTGCTTCACTTTGTCTCGTCGTCTCGTCGTCGCTCGAAGCGTATTCGGTTTCTCCTTTCGTGCAACTCGCGGGACCTCGAGCGGTCTCTGCGTCTCCACTATCCCGACCTCTTGGCTTCCCACGAACACGAACCTATTCCCGACTGGACAAAGCCCAAAGATCTGCAAGAAGCATTAGGTATCTGTGACGGAGTGGTCTTAGCAGCCGGTGGCGTTGGTGACCACTGTATCAACGTACCGAGCAATTTGACGGACGAGTGGCTTCGATGTGAGCAACAGGTGGCAACTTTGGTGTCAAAAGACCATCGGGTTGTCAAGTTATCGTGGATGGAAGGATTCGTGCATGAACAGTCGCCCTTAGCGGTAGGAAGAGCTACATGGGCGATAGAGCAAGAGCTGCACCGAAAACTTGGGGAAGGAGGGGGTACATTCGCTCCTAACCTCACGATTTTGCGGGCTCCGACGGGAATGGACGCCTTCTTGCAAGGTCGGCTGTTCGACTTGGTATGTGGACGAACCCTCTCAATTAGTATCAAGCACGGGCGCGTGGCATTCGTGCATCCGTTGGATGTTGCCGAGGTGTTGAGTGCGTTGGTGACAACGGAAGACGTTGGCGGTGCTGAGGCAAAGGGAAAGCTCGTGAAGTTGACAGGGCCCGAGGCGCTGACATTTGCAGACGTTGCCGAGCTGTTGTCGAAGGGAATTGGCGAGAAAGTGAACTACTCGTACTTCCCATTGTGGGCAGTACAGCCCGCACGTTGGGTGCACGGAGTTCCTGGTGACGCGATTGAAGAAGAGCTTGCGGTGATCCGCGCGTTGGAGGCAGGGACGCAGCAAGAAGTGGACACGACTCTCGTGGAGACGCGTCTGGGTCGCACGCCACGCTCTTTCCGAGCATTTATCGCTGAAAATGCGGCTGCGTGGCCACGGATGGATCCCAAGTAAGATGCGTGCGGCACACGGCGATCGATGCGGCCTCGTGCTGTTGTGGTGCATAATGAGCTTTTGCGGTGGAAGCGAAGGCGACCGATCGATCCAAGTGCGTCGGGGTCTGTGTTCACAGTAAAGTATCACCCAGATAAATGTCGCTTGTCAAACTGGAGGCGATACGCCCGTGCGTCGTGATGGATCCATTTCTCGACAATAGACGGTGCAACATAATGTTCACTCGTGTGCTCAAGCGCATCGGGAGTCGCTGAGATGATGAGTGTAACAAAGACTACCATTGTCACGGCACACGTCGTTGCAACTAGTGCATCGTAGCTCGATACGGTAGTGCCTATCGACCGGTATACCGGCCACTAGATCCGCCATCTCCTATATCAGTACGAACCCGTTCCACTCAGTACACTACTACTCCAACCTCCCGGATGCTACAACACGCACCGCGACTTGGACTCGGCACCCAGGGTCGTTGTTAAACCCACCCACCCAGCGTACCCACCCAGCGTACCCAGCCACACGCCCAAAACACCCACTCTCAACCATTTGCACCAATGGCCGTATTTACACCGATTTACCGCCAATCACACCGCCGCACCCGCGCGCTCTCGGCTTCCCTCCTCGCCCCCACTGCCGACACGCACACACCCCCTCTGTTGCCGCCGCGTAACCGCTCGCTCGATCCGTCATGGACACGTCCAAGCGCCTCGCCGACGGAGCGAAAGCGCCGCGCAAAGAGGTCGTCGAGATCAAGCGCCTCGCCAAGTTCTACGCGCCCGACCGGCCGCCCCGCAAACGACTGCGCACGCTGCTGGACTTTCTCAAGCACCCGCCCGGTACCGAAGTCTCGGGGGGGAACATCGCCGTGGCCGTTCAGTCGCTGCTGTCGGGCGGCGCGTCGTCGAAGGACACGAGCAGTGCGACGGCGTCCACGACGAGCGCGGGGACCGAACACGTTGCAGCCGTTGCGGACTTTTGGGCCGACGCGTCGAACGCGACGCTCGTGTTTACCGTCGTGAGCGACTGCGTGACGGAACTCGAGACGCTCTACGCGCCGCACGAGACGGCGTTCCGTAAACAGCGCCGCAAGCCGCTGGAAGCCGAAGACTGGAGCGAAGTGTTTGAAGGCATGGAGGTGCTCTTGCGCAACAATGCAGCGCGGCTGCGCGACGGCTGGAACACGAACGGCCTCACGGTGCTCTTTGCCAAGCTGCTCAAGCGCGACAACCACGCGATGATCAAAAAGTACGCGTTCCGCTGTCTGGCGCTCTATACCGACGCAACGCGGAACTTGCAGCAGCTCGCGGCCATGCCAGCGACGAGCACGATGAGTTTCCAGGCGTCGCGAGCCGGTAGTATCCGACTTATGGGCGACGGCGTGGAGATTGACATTGACGCCGAAGACGACGACAGTAGGGCCGTGAGTGCGCAGACACAGGCGATACTGAGTCGCAAGAACATGCACTTGGAGCTACTGCGCGAGAGCGTCGACTTTTCGCCGTACGGAGGCGGGAGTATCTTGCTACCGGACAAGTTCTTGAACGAAGGTGTGCACGTAGAAGGCTGGATGCGGCCAATGCCGACGCAGGCTGAAGAGCCTGTGGATATGTTGAAGTTCCTGATGGATTTGAGCTTGGAAAGAGAAGACGTTTCGGGAAAACTCGCGTCCGTGGGCGCAGCGGGGAAATCCTCGAGTGGAACTAGTGACCGATTCGTGTTTTGGGCCGAGTTGATTATGAAGTTCTATATGCCCTTGTTGTACCCCAAGGTGTGTCTCAAGGTAAAGTTGAAAGAGGAAGGCGACACGCTGGGTTTTTTTCATCACTGTCCAGGCAGCTTCCAGCGAGTTGTTGCACGCTGGATTTACAAATTGCGGTCGAAAGAGGAATGCATGGAAGTACTGTGGTCACGACGTGAGTTTTCAGAGGTCGTCATGGAAACTATCCGCCAACGATTTGCATACCGGGACACAGAGTTGGTGGTGGATGCTATAAAGTTTTACTCTGGTATCTGTACTGGATCGCAGCATGTGCCATCGGGCATGAAAGCTCAAATGAACGAGGTTTCTCGCGCCATGATCTCACACGTCTCGCAGCTGTTTCACCCATCCGTGCAGCTAGATGATTCTAAGATTCTGCTGCACTGCATTGAACTCCTTGAGCTCGTTTCCCAGCGGCGACTTGATGACTACACATCCACTTACCTACGCAAATTTGTGATATCTACAGTCGATAATTGTATTATGCTGCGCGAACCGGGACACCGGCATGTGCTCACTGCAATGCTATCGATCGTTCTGCATGTTTGGATGCATTCAGCAGTGACCACGAAGCCTACAAGCGCACAGGTATGGATGGAGTTGACGATTGCCATTCGACGGTGGCTTGTCAATCCTGCGGATACCAAGGTCGTGGGTGCCGAAATGATAAATTGTTGGAAGCGTGAACTTCGGTTTGCGAGTTGTTTGCTCATGTACGTGATGGACAAGGGGTATTCGTACCTGAAAGTCACGCCGGAAGGAGCTTTCTTACTGCCTCAGAATGATGGTGCAGGAAAGAATGATAGGGCACCGGGAAGCGGTAAAACGTTGCGCGATCTCAAGCAGGGGTATCTTCAGTCGTCAGCCAACTTTTTGATGATGACAGTGGTAGATACACCCGGCGCAACGCTGCTGCTTGACCGTGTACTGCATCTCATTCCCCCTCCAGCGGTGTCGGCTCTGACGCCTTCGATGCATCTGAATGTGACTGAAGGCATGCTGCAGCTCGTGGAACTCTGGATCGAGTCAGCGATCGAGGCACAGCGAAGCCAGCCTTCAGAGCTGCAGCGAATTAGTCCGTCGACGGTCCTTGCGCTGTTCGGCGAGTGGTTCTTGCCTGCATGCGAGCTGGATGCAGGAGACTACCAGCCGTCTCGTTGCATTGCAATTGTAGCCCTCTGCAAGCTGTGCTCAGTGCGCTGCATCAATCCAATTACTCGCAGCCATCTTGCCGTCGTCGCCCGTGTCCTATTCAAGGGAATTACCTCTCCATCTGGATTGGTTGTTTCTACCGTGCTGCAAAAGTCGTCGAGCGTGTTTTCTATGAATCTCGAAGGGCTGAACATACTCGTGCCTGCATATTTATACGCAGTCGATGCAATTGTGATCGGCAACATCTGGACTCGAGCCGCAAAGTCAAAAGTGAACGCGTCGGACTGGAATAACGAGCTTAATGCGGCGCTTGACGTTGTTTTCGCTATCATGGAACTGCCAAAGCGATTTCCAGGTCAAGACTTCGTACGCTGGAAAAAGAAGATTCAATGCGTGTGCGGCATTGATGAGCTTGCCGTTGTGCAAGGTATAATTGGGGAATTTCCGGAAGCGTTGGACGATTTCCACGTGATCATTGGACGCATCCTTGTTCGTATCACCCAGCTTTCATTTACCGATGTCGTAAACATCAAGAAGCGCGCGCTATGGGGGTTGTATTGCCTCCTTGTGATGAACCTAAAACCTGACACGGCCGGAGAATATGTAGTGGATCCGATTTACCTGTCGGAGTGGGTTGTCCACCTCGTGGACGTATGCCAAAATGTGGACTTTTCCATTTCTACAACCGCACTCACTATTCTGCAGGACATGTCAGATTATCACGAGGAGATCAACGCGTTTGAGCCATCTCTGGTGGTACGAATTGTCATGACACTGGCAGTGTTCGCACAGCAACAGGTTGAGGAAGCTTCAATCGAGGTGCAGGCAGCGATGGAACGCATGGGTGCAGCCAATGTGTTGGCTGATAGCGGTAGCTCTGCCACCAAGTCTGCTTCATTCACTGGATCGAGTCTTGCGGGTGGAACGCATTTTTCGTCTAGTGGAGGTGGGCGTCGTGGAAGCGACAATGCTAGGGCTAGTCGCGTGGAAAGCCCGAGTCCGAGCAACTCCACGGAAGCCACAGATGCGTTCAGTAAACTGAGAAGCAAGCTGAAGCCGGGGACCCCAAACGCCCCATCATCTACGCCGTCCCCCCCGGTGGACGGTCCTGCTAGCGCTCCATCATCGTCGACGGCTGTCCAACGAGAGCAGGACATTCCGGCCCTTCGTCTGATTGTACAGAAAACCAGCGCAATATTCGAGTGTCTTCGTTTCTGGATAATGCATCGAGCCGAGGTACTTCAAGATGCTGATGTGAAGAAACTGATATTCGGTGCGATTGAAGCCGCCTTGGTAGGCACACTTCCAGACGGAGAGTGGCAGCGCGAGGTAGAACGTGCACGCACACTCGAGCGGCGCATGTCGATGCCGTTATTGTTTTTAGGTTTGCAGATGCGTGCGTCACTTGACAACGAGCCTGGCCATGTCTGGCTGAAGTGCTTTGAAGAGACTGCAGTTGCTGCCGAGGGACTTCTGATGCACTTGCTTCACCACATCAACGGATTCCCGTCACCCGCAGGTGTTGATCAAATGGTGTCTGATTGTTCTGAGCTGTCCAAGTCAGATGGTACGCCTGACGGTGGAGACAATGAGACGCCACCTGGCGCCTTAAGCTTTGTCTTCATGGATTCAATCGTGTTCAGTGTTATTGGCAGTCTCGATTCGCCATGCGCACGGTTTATTGTGAGAGATATGACGGGTCTGTTTACGTGGGAGACAACACCAGCTGTGATAAATGGACGAGGCCATTCCTTTATCGAAGAATCTTCACTCGCAAGTAGCAGCGCACCCGTAGAAATCGAGTCGATGATTGAGACGAATGTGCGGGAGACGAACACACTGACACTGCACAGGCCGACTGGCGCTGTGCAGGTAAAATTTAAGAGCGTCGACGACGATAGCGGAACATGCAAGATGTGTGGAGGAGAAAAAGCTTTGACAAAGCCTGCTTCGTCCGACGCGAAGACTGGGCGTAATTTGATAAAGCTTGAGGCCTGCCAGGTCTCTTGGGAACATGAGCGAGATACGCTCTCTAACAACGTGTGTCCAGTGAAGAGTATGTACGTATTTCATGAGGATGGGACGGCATCTACGAGCGCAAGTGCTAAAGAAAGCGGCGATGTGAAAAAGAAAGACAAGTCACGCTCGTCTGAGATTGAAAAGATGCCAGTCGGAGGAAATAAGGACGACCGTCAGGAGCGACTGGAGCGCATCGCAAAGCAGAACGAGGAGCGCAATGCGACGGGCGCTGCATCACAGCCTACACTAGAATCGCAAACGACGGCGTGCCAATGTCCGCTGCAAACGGAATCGAAGTTTAAGCGCCGTACCACGACTACTATCTGCGGTCTCTTCGACATGTCGATAAATGAGTCAAACGTTGGCAGTTTAGACGATGAGCGGTGTCTGCTGGATCTTGTGCTGGATAGTATTCCTATGGTGTTTCGCGATTGCGGTGGTGATACGACCGACAAGACCCTGTTGGGTGGACGCTATTCGATGATGCGGTACAACTTGGTCGACTTGTCGCCCCCTTTGAGTCCTCTGCTGATGGATTCGGCCGAAGCTCCTGGATTCTCATTTTTGCAACGGCTTATTCATGACGAAGAGTGCTATTCGCAGCTGAGGAACTTCTTGATAAAAGACGAGAATGTCGAGGGAAAAGAGCTTGTGGACTTTTGCGACGCAGTCAAGAAATACGAGCGCTCATCGATTTCAACAGACCGTCTGGGTCAGGCTAGTGTCATTTATTGGGAATTTCTGACCGTCGAAGGAGGTAAAAAGATCACTTTTCCAACCGCTGTTGTCACGGACATTCAAACCCAGATTCACCAAGCCCAAGCAGCCCTCAGAGTAGCAGCGAGAGAGTCGTCTGATCCTGCATTTTCTCTCCCTGGCTCACTGTTTGAGCGCGCCATGGCATTTGTCGAGTATGAATGCTTTAGCAAGTCGGGTTTACTGGACAAGTATGTGGCAGCACTGGATCAACCGCCTGCAGCTTCGACAGCAGCTGGCAACAGCAAAAGCTCTAGCTTGCCGTCGATCCCGCCCCAACTCGCGCTTTTCGACGCGTTTTCGATAATGGAAGTTAATGCCAGAGTGTCCCATTTGGCTCTACAGAAGCGGAACGCGGACGAACAGTTGATGCGGATGACGAAGCCCGGTGTGATAGCGGCTGAACGATTGATTGAAAGCTCACAGAGTGGCCTGAAGGACAGTCGTGTGAGTGCTCTTGATATTTGTCGGCTGTTCCTGTCACAGGCTGGACTGTTGCCGTCCCTCGATGGCGATTCTAAGAAGAACTCGAGACTCAAGCTGCTTGAGCACGGACCAAAGCTTGAGCGGTCACTGAAGCACTTGGACAAGAGCCCGACACGTGAGACCATGAAGATCGGTGTGATTTACGTGGGCAAGAATCAGCACACGCAGCAGGAAATTCTTCACAATGAGAAGGGTAGTCACGCTTACGAGAATTTTTTGTCACAACTCGGCTGGAAGGTAGATATGCCGACCCACCGTGGTTTTGTAGGTGGCTTGGACACAAACCCTAGAAGTTTGTCGAACGGAAAAACGACGCTGTATTACGCAAGCTCTCACAGCGAAGTGATATATCACGTCGTGACAATGATACCGACGAAGCCGTCTGATCCGCAGCAGATTGACAAGAAACGGCATGTGGGTAACGACTATGTGCACATCGTCTGGAGTGACAATGCGAATCAGAGCTACGATCCGTCAACTATTACAAGCCATTTCAACGACGTACAAATTGTTATTTATCCCCTTCGCAAGTCGCAACGTGGCTTATTCCTGATCAAGGTCCATGCTAAGGATAGGGTGCCGCCTTTCGGACCGCTGCAGTCTGGCATGGTGATTCATCAGGTCGATCTAGCTCGACTTGTGCGCCAGACGGCGATGAACGCAAATCGAGTGTGTCGCTCTCAGGTACGACTAGAATAGCCTCGAGCGCTCTCACTGCTGTATGTTCTAACAATCGAATGCACGTTTTTGATTGCAGACCATGTTGTACGTGCGCCCGTACCCTACGCGAAAAAAGCTGGTGGACGAGATCGTCGAACGGTATGCCATCGAGTACAAGGAGAGTCAACTGCTAACCATGCTGCTCGGTAACTCCACATTGAACCATGCTTCAGCACCGACTTTGTCGACTGATGCTGAAGGAGTCTAGAAGATCGGGCGAATGTTAACGATGCGTGTTCGATATAATTTGCTGAGCTTGATCCGGCGTGTCGTTTGACCGGCGTGTAGATTCGCTCTTGTGCATCATCCCTAGCAGATCGGTAGAAGCCACATCGCGTCCAAGCGTGCACGAGAAGCCCAAATGTCGTATGCTACGTCTCACCTTCTCGTGAATTGGTGTGGCTGCTTACATGCGAAGCGAATGGAGGTGGAAGCAAGTTTGGCATTGACCGTGTCGCGCAACGAAGAGTTTGTCGACTGCATCCGAATGATCATGGATGTCTATGTCATGGAGCAACATGGCTGGTGGACGATGTGTAGGCTACCGTGTCGACCTTTTGTGACTGCATGTAGTCAATACGAGAAGCATTGCATTCGTGAGATCGTTGACGGCCATGAACCCATGACTGTTTGCGGTCGATGCGAGAAGCATTGCATTCATGAGGTCGATGATGGTCGTAAACGCATATTGAGGTGTATCATATGCAATGGTGGAAGAATACTACAGCCGAACCCTTTCCGAGTTATACCATTGTGGTGCTGAAAAATGCTACGGATATACGGTGTCATTGATCAATGCTAAGTCGGACGGAGAAAGGGTAGCACGCGCCACGAAAGGGATTGTTGAGCCCACAGCGTTTACAGCAGAATGCGACACTGGTTGGATCAGTGAACACGGATGTGTCTTCAAGTACGATGCTGACAAGTTTTTGTGGCACGCGCAAACAACCTCGCGCAGCTGTCGGTACGAGGTTCTCGTGGGGTTCTGAAGTGCCAACCATCTTTCCAGTTGAGGGCAAAGGCTGGTTCTGTTGAATGTGTGACCCTCATGTACACAGGGTCCGGTCGGTCGCGTGCTCACCCAGATCCGAGTCACTTAGAAGGTGGTGGTGAAGTGGGCGCATGCCATGCTCGAGCGAAGACACTGTCGGCCATACTGTGCTTCGTGATTGATAAAAACTGCTTTACGTCGACGAAGATTGACGTCAGGATAAACTCACGTATATCGCATGCGAGATACGTCATTGCAAGTTGTGTCCAAAGCAGAAAAAGGAATCCCAGCGCATACAACTGGCCCATTGTGCTCTGTCGTCGTAGTGGTGCAACAAACACTCGTCCAAATGCTCGATCATGGTCCTATGTTCGCGGTTGATGTCGCCATCCCGTCGTGTGCAACACTGCTGCGACTACAATGAGAACTGGAAGAGCTATTGCCCGGTTTCGGGTTGCTTGTCGTCCGCGAGTCGAGCCCACTTCTCCATCTCGCGCGGTCTAGCACTACTGAGACCTATTCCGCTTGCTTCAGCAGGGATGCGTTGTTCGACTGCTGCACGGCTATGGTTGGGCTCCGCGTGGTCGTCTGCTTCTCTAGACACGATGCCCATGTGGATGTGAGCGATGGGGCATCGATCGTTGCAACCATGGGCCAGAAAGAAGATGACCGCCACGTGATTCTATGATTCGTAGAGTGCTCTCGGCATGGATGCCCGTGATGGATGCGAGGCAAATTGGTGTCTCTATCAGCATGGTAGACTACAAAACGCCCTGCGACCAGCGCGGATGCAACAAGTACGAGACTTGAAGGCCCATCGTTCCCCAGGAGCAGCATCGACCCGCTAATGGGGGCTATGTATGACGTGCTGACAGCTTTCGACAACGTGCTGGAACGCCATGCTGGCTAGCTTACGAAACGGAAAGAAGCCTATGCGAAAGTAGTTGTCTACCGAGCATGGGCTCGCACACCCTTTTCCACTCGTCTACTTACTCAGCTTGCGGTCATGATGTTCTCAAGCACAACGGTCTCGCTGGACAAGAAGTGGTGGCCTCATTGGTTGGCGACATTCGAAAGGGGCGCTTGCCTGTCGATCATTCGCACATCCCGCGGCACCTCGTGATGTAAGAACGAGCATCGCCGCCAGCTCAACCGTCTGACCGTTCGTAGAGCCGGACGTTTGCATGTGCTGAAAGCCATTGCGCCAATGCGACGACTGATCCACGTGAGGCAACAGCGCATCTCGCTACAGCGAAGAAAAGCTCACTCAGCATGGAATTGTCGTGCTGTGACATGCACCGACGTTGGAGCTACTGAGGGGGGACATGCTGTCGTCTGTTCATGGTACAGGTACAGCCTCAAGTGCCTCAGTGTGTGTGTGTGTGTGTGCCTTCTACCGAGCGCAATGCTCACGCGGTGGGCAACGACCACTTTGGTGGTGCATTCATCCGCTTTCGGCAGACAGAAAAAACGGTACAACGTGTTGCCTGACTGGAGAGCTGCGACACTGCGACACAGCACGTGTCGAGTCGGTTGACGCTGGAGCTACAGTCGTCGTTTGCGACGTGGTGGTGGGCGTTGCCAATGGCAGCTGAAGCGGCTGCGACGCGATCGACATGGCGCAGTGAGACACTGGTCGTTTGCACGGCGAGTCGACCCACCTGATCGGCGTGTGCGGTCGGTAGCAGAACAACGCAGCAAAGTTCACGCTACATACATTGAGCGAGCGCCGACAGGTACAGTCAATCATGTTTTCGTTTGGATGCGGCAATAAGCTGCTTGGAAGACTGCGCGTGCGCTCTCCACACATACCATTGCAGCTCTTTGGACAACGCACCGCCTGTGCACGTTTTCCGCGCCGATATCGCTACCCACCGCGTGCATTCACGTTCCATATTCGTTGAGTTAATAGGCTGTTGTGAACTCAATGGGCGCACAAGACTTTCTCTCCTTACGATAGCGAATGGAAGAAGAAGAGGCAGAAGGGGCAATCGAAAGGGCTCGTCGCCAACTACTGCTGCTCGTCTCACGAGCAGCAGAAAAGCCACATCGCTCAACAGGGCTCGAGAGCGATCAGGACGAACCGTCTGCCGTCACAATGCCGTAAAGAACAACTTCTTCTACTTCTTCTTCACTGAGTCTTCAAAGCAGAGCTCCCCCCCGACTTTAACAAGCAAATAATCCGACACCGCGAACGGCGTTTGCAAGCGAGCAGAGACATCCACGACAGTCCTCCGGTCTCTACACAGAGAGAAAGAGAGAGAGAGCGCGCACAGGCACTTTGACACGGAGGCGTCGCGGGGGCGTGCGACAACACGTGGTCCCAAACCGCGTCGGGCGTTTGTCAGTCGAGCACGTCCTCACGACCATCGACTTCACTTAACACAAGAGGGCGTTCCGCATGGGAACTTGTCGTTCGCGGCCACTGGGACGTCGACCCACGTGGTGCTGCCACGTGAAGAGCAAGTGCTTTCTCGCGCGTAGTCGAGTTGCGACTCGATGCGACGCCGCGTCGACAATCCATAGGCACCGACCGACGTTGTTGTTGCTGGGCGTTCTCGTCGACAGACGTCGTCTTGCTTTTGCACCCATGTCGGCTGCAGTCGTCGTCTTTTTTCTACTCGCTCCGTCCCTGCTGCGTCCCACTTGACAGCCAGGCGCTTGGCCCGTCTGTTCCGCGAGGCCGATGCTGCTGCTGCTGCGCCGTCTTTGTCGACGTCCCCTACCCGCGCGCGCGCCCGTCGGCGCCAATCAGCGACAAGCGTTACGCCACCCACCGCTCGGTGACAGCCGGCCGACGTCCCCGTCTCTTGTCCACGTGGACATAACCGCTCGCTAGTCAGCGCGTTCAACCCGCGTTGGCGCTCAAAAAAAGCACTTTTGCACTTGCCCCGGCGCCCAATCGACCACACCCGCTGCTGCTGCTGCTGCTACTGCTGCTCAGGAATACCTCATGACGCGGCGGAAGCGCACAGCGGTATACGCGCTCGGTGCGCTATGGACTGCAGTCGCTGTGGCAATGCACGCGCGCGTCAGTGGCGCGTCAGTGCGTCGCCGCCTCTTGTCGTTCAACGAGACGCCTCGTGCGACGCTGGGCGTGGCGGGCCGGCGTGAAGTAGCAGCAGTCGGTCCCGACACGGGCCATCGAGCGCGTGCTACTTTACTGGACTGCGACACGTTGCAAAGACGGGACAGGGGAGACGAGACGGTGGACCAAGAGCCAGAGACAAGCGACGAGCCTCGAGACCCAAAGAAGAAGAAGAAGCGAAAGTGGACGAAGAAGAAGAAGACGACGACGGCAAAAGTGGGTACACTACGCAGGGGCTGTGCTGTTGCTGCATCGACAGCAGTGCAACGGACGCAAGTGGAAACAGCAGAGCACCGAGAAGTCGGCGCAGAGGCGGCAGTGGATGGCGTCGAGCGCGAGATGGGGGCGCAGACAGCGACGCCACTGCCAATGGCAGACGGACCACACGTTCCAGTGGCAGTTCGAGCGCCGCCCGTGACGGTCTCTTTGACTGGGCCGAAAGAGGCTGTGCCGCCAGTAGTGCCACTTCATGACGGAGACGTGGGGCCTTTGCACTTGGAGAGACGTGTGGCAACAGCAGGTACGACCGAGCCGCCGGTACAGAACGATGTGGCAACGTCGGCAACACTCAGGCGCTCTGGCACACGAGAGAGGAGAGCTGGAGAGGGTACGGCAAACACTGCTACTGCTGCTGCTGCTACTGGATTGGCTTTGGTTCCTGACCCAGTGGTCACGTCATTACCAGAGGAGAGCAGCGTTGAGCATCGACGGCCGATTGCTCCGACAGCAGAGACAGGAGGCAGCATTGTGTCACTTGGAGGGAACGCGTTAGCAGGTGCGACACCTGCGTTGCTTGATGCGAGGAACACAACACTGACGAGATCGGTACCGAGAGAGGGCAAAAGTGCTAGTCCAGGACAAGTCCACGCCAGCTCAAGTGCTGACCTGGAACTGAGTGATTCGTCAAAGATTGCAGACACTGGCAGCTTGGACACATTGCCTTCTTGGGACCGCGACAGGGACAAAGTAGCGGAAGCGAGCAGTCGCAGGGAAGAGTACAGCATAGCCAATGGTGCGAGAAACTCCGAGAGCGCGTTGGTGAAAGAACCTGGCGACCACAAGGCTGGAAACAGCGACAAAGGAAGGGCCGAGAGCGAGATGGAGAACGATCCTGGCAGCCACAATGGTGAAGACGGTGGCAGCAGCAGCAGTGACCGCGGCGCTGTTTTGGATCCTGGTGGCGTGTCGGACGTCAATACGAGTGCTGCGACGTTTTACAGCCTAGACACGGGCTCGATCGTTGCTGTTGTCTGTGTCATCGCGAGCATATTCGGACTCCTGGTGCTTTTCGCAGTGATTGGGCGCAAGAACTACACCGACGAAGACGACGAGAGTCCGCTTCCGTATGGCTACAACATGGCAATGCACTCGGTTCATCGGCTCTCCCCGACGTTTCTGGAAGACGACTTGTCGATGGATGACGGCTACAGCGACACGACTCTCATGGCGAGAGTCCCTTCGCATCAGTTTGATAGTGCATCTTCGACCAGTGGCGAAAGCTCCGATGAGGTCCCGTCACTCCGTGGGGATATGGTCGCAGCCAATCATCGCGATGGTTTAGGTGACAAAAGCGTCCGGACTCGCGTCTTGTCCAGGCACAGTATCAACGGAGACGTGCGGATGTCTGCCCTGTACTCAACAGGGTCATCCATGACAAGCAGCAGTGGTATCAGCGGTTCGTGGAGCTCTGTGCTGGCTTCCGATATGGAGTACTCGACGACCCGCGACACGCGAGACACTTCGCTAAGTGCGTGGTCGGCTGCCGACTCGTCTTTTGGTAGCACTGCTAGCGGTGCATCGGGGACGCATGGCATGGGTGGATCGTTTTCCGCTGAGACGCACCATGCAGCTGGCAGAACTCGGAGCTGCTCTTCTTCACGTGTGGCCGATTATTCACTGAACCCGGATCAAATGGGTGCAAGACCGAGTGACTCGAGCAGTATCGTCGACAGTGCAGACGTGTGACGCGTGTGTGATGGATGAATGGATAGTGAGTGAGTGAGTGAGCGAGTGGACGTGAAGCGTGCGACGTGTGTGAGCAGTATGCGAGACACCTCTCCGTTGTTTCGGTGGATAGTAGACTCGATGTCTCTGTTGTCTATGAGTGACTCGATGTCTCTGTTGTTTGTGAGTCTCTCGAATAGGCTGTACACGTGGCTTTGGATGTATGATACGAAGCACAAATTGAGTCAATGTCAGCAGACGCGTATGGTGATCCGACGTGACGGATGATACCTACGCCAGCCTAAGTGAGTTAGTGCTCGATAGTCGTCAGCATTTTTTATTATTATCGACGTGCCGTCTCTGTTGCCGAGACTTGAAGCGCTTTTCTGTTGGTTGTGTTTTCGCTAGCAAAGTGGCGACAATAATTGTCGCGCTACGCCAATATCGTGACGTCTCACATCGCATACAGCGTTTGCTGTACACACACATAGATATACACTTCTGCACTTACCACTCGATTCGAATCGAGTAACGAGCTACGTGCTCCACCAAAATGCTTTTCTTCATCTCCATGTTTGCAACCGCAGTCAAATGTGCCACGTAAACGCAACGCCTTCGAACAATCACAAGGCCCGGAACCATCGCACTCTTCTCAACTCCCACATCAACATAGCTGCAAGCAGAACGAGTAGTACTACGACATTGCAATGACAATGATCCTGAATGATGTACACGACCGCTTAGAATGATCTCCTCAGCCTACAGCTGCGACTTGCAAGTCATGCAACTTCGGACCATCAGTTCACGGGTACTTTTTCGAGTCGTTTTACGTCTGGTCAGCAGTGCTCTTTTTCTCTGGGTGTGTGTCCCTGTGACTCGGCTTTGTTTACTGGAAGTTAGCAGCTGGTTGGGTATGTTTTCCTCCATCCACAAACGCAGTCGGCACGTACCCGCGATCGTTCGAACATACTGAGCGTCGCACTTGCTTTGTATAAAAGACTCTTTTGTCTGCACACGCATCGGCAGAAAAAAGCGTTTCGAGCACTGACTGCTCTCGAGGCCAGCTGTCTGCATGTACCGGTATTGTATCGGTCCGTCCTCTGTCGTTCTGGAACAAAAAGATCGCGTTTAATACCAGACGCGAGACTCATGTCAAATCATACCACACGATGCTGTCGCAACGCAAATCATATTCGATCTTATACCGTCGACATGGCTTCATATTCCCACAGGCACCACTCGACGCGGAGTAAATTATCCCGGATCTTCCTCCTCGTTCGTCAGAAATAGAAATAGAAACAGAACTAAAGAAGCACCAGAAGCAAAAGAAGCAGACCAAGAAGAAATAGAAGGAGACGAAGAGACGATCAAAGTTAGCGATAACTGCTGCCCAATACGAAACGCCACCGATCAATCCATCGATCGCCTGCAACAACAAGTGCGCTAAGAATCCAGTAGCGAAAAAAAGTAGACCTTTTTCTCCTCCTCCTATGACTACCACCAGCACAACCTGTTCCGTGCTTGTACCGTACGGGCAACAGCGGCGAGCGAGCAAATGACTACCGGTCAGTGTCTGGCTGGCGGTTTTTTCTTGTCTCTGCCCACGCGTTTCGTGGTCCATTGCAAGTGGCCACAAACAAAAGAGAGAGAGAGAAAAAAAGAGAGAGAGCGACATACGACTCTCTCTCTGTCTCGTGGAGCGCTTTGAAAACATTGTTGAAGATCGCGCGGAGCGACGCGGACACTGCGGCAACAGTTAGCGGAATGCCTAGAAGTACTACAGCTACGGCTCCTGCTACTACCACACGTCCTGCAATCCAAAAGTACTATTTCTATATTACTTTATTACTACCGCTCTTTGCATCGACGCGCTTTCGTGCAGTGCGTTCCACAGCGCGAAACGGACGACGTCCGTCTTTTCGTATTGGCCAATCACGGGCGCGTTTCGCATCGTTTGATCCTCACGGCGCGCTCATTGGGTGGTCGCTGGTCGCACCAAAGCACCCAAAGCGCCCGAAAAAAACACGCGAAACAATCCAAAAAATGTTTCAAACAAAATCGCACGCGACCAGGTGCGCGGACGTGCACGTCGACGCCAAAGCCAGTCTCACTGCCGCAACAATAGCAGCAGCACCCGCACCGACATCCTCCTCCTCCTCCTCCTCATCAGCACCAGCACCAGCAGCAGTAGCAGTATCGCTCGCTCGGCAGACGGACGCGCTGCCCGTTGCGCAGCCGTCGCCGTTTGTATTGGACGACTTCAAGTTGCTCACGACGTTGGGCACGGGCACGTTTGGGCGGGTGCGGCTCGTGCAACTTAAGCGCGGGCAGTCGTTTTGCGCGCTCAAGATTTTGAAAAAATCGGAAATTTTGCGGCTCCAGCAGTTGCACCACATGCAGTGCGAAGTGGATATTTTACGGCGCCTGCGCCATCCGTTTGTCGTAAATTACTTTGGCCACTTTCAAGACGAGCGGCGCCTCTACGTCGTGCTCGAGTATGTCCAAGGTGGGGAATTGTTTTCGTACTTAAGACGACAAGGCCGGTTCGTCGACCCCGTCGCGCGCTACTATGCGGCGCAATTGGTCCTCGCGATTTCGTACCTCCACGCTCAGCACATTATCTATCGGGACTTAAAGCCCGAGAACGTGTTGATTACGGCTCAAGGGCACCTGAAGATCACGGACTTTGGGTTTGCCAAGATTGTCCACGACAAGACGTGGACGCTGTGCGGGACGCCCGAGTACTTGGCGCCCGAGATCATCCAGAGCAAAGGACATGGCAAGTCGGTCGACTGGTGGGCGCTCGGCGTGCTGCTGTACGAGATGCTGGCGGGGTATCCGCCGTTTTACGACGAGAACCCGTTTGGCATTTACCAGAAGATTCTCGACGGGAAACTCGACTTTCCGAAACACATGGACGCAAAGGCCAAGGACCTCATCAAGAAGCTCCTGTCACAAGACCGCACAAAGCGACTGGGTGCGTGTTGAAGAGTCGGTGCATTTGTTGGCTGCTGTTTTGTCCATGTGTGGTGGTTGGTTGGTTGGTTGGCTCTTGTTGGTTGTTTGCTGCTACATTCGTTCGGTGTATGGTCATATGAGAGGGACATGTTGTTGGACACGGAGGACTCACGAAGGCTCTTGTTGTGGTTGTGGATATTGTTGCGCTTGCTGTGTTGCTCTGTTTGTCCGTTTAGGCTGTTTACGGAACGGATCGGAAGACGTGAAAAAGCACAAGTATTTTGCCAAAGTGGACTGGGACGCTGTGCTCGCACGTTCCGAGGCACCGCCGTATTTGCCGCCGGTAAGAGGCCCCGGCGACCACACGCACTTTGACGAGTATCCTGACTCGCCCGTGGACGATGCCGGCATTCTCTATGGCGAAGACAGAGCTGCGTTTGACGTGTTTGACCAATTTTAAGCTTCCTGCGAGCAGATATATACATACGTCGTACAGTCACTCACTCACTCACTCACTCACTCACTCACTCACTCACTCACTCACTCACTCAGTCAGTCGGTCGGTCAAGTGGAGATGTCAGTCACTACCGCGGTAAGCAAAAGTCGCCAGAGGACATCAATACAGCAAATCAAATTGTAACATGCCGATGACAGATGTCGGAACGTGTTCATGCACGGACAAAATTGCTCACTCTGTAGTTAACCACATTGTCAGATGGTATGTTATCTCAGGACAGAGCTTGTGGGTTGTATCGACTACAACATACACTACCACGTCAATCAAATACTCCTACTACCAACGAGCGACCTGTGCCATAGTGGACGCAAGTGAACCACAGCGATGTCCTACGCTTGGACACGTACATGCGTATCAGCTGACTCGGTCGTGTGCAAGCACTCGTGCGTCATACTCAAAGACAGACACTGCTGCATCGAGCCAGTCCAATGCAGCACTATCGAGTGACGGAGCCATATCGACGGACGGACGACCGCCTCCGACGGAAGAAGAGGGCGAAACGATCAGTATCAGAGGCATTTGGCCATTTAAATCGAGCGAACGCAGACCAGTTGCTTCCAGTAGCAGCAGCAGCAGCAGCAAACACACTCTCGACATGCCAATGGACGAACAGCAACAGTCTTGAGCAATCGCGTTGGAAGGTGTATGAAGGGGAAGAACAGCAACAGTCTTTCCATTCATACACCATCCAACGCGAACGCTTAATGCAGAGAGAAAACAACGCAACATGACGCACAGTGTCGGGTGACTACAATGCCGTCGCCATCTGGCTGCTCACCACGAGCTGAACAGCTGCAACACCGTCACGTGCATCGTCGTTGTCGTCGTTGTCTTCTCTTCTTGACTTGTTGCTGCACACCACATGCAGTCCCGTTACGAACGGCCATCCTCCCAATCACCATTCGTGCAATAGAACAACTCACGTACCACATGCGCGTCCGACACCTTCCACGCGGAACGTCGCGTCGACCAGCGCAGCCACCAAAGCAGCTACACAAAGTACATCGCGCTCTTCATCGCAGGATGCACGTCGTACATGCGCGTGTCCGTCTCCGGAGCCGTCTCGCTGAACCCCGACACAGTCGAGCCAGAGTCGCTGCTGTCCACCAAGAAGAAACGGGCACGGAACGCGACCAGGTGCGAGTAGTACGCAGACGGCACCATCGACACAGAACGCGTGCAGCGCGCAAACGTGTAGCACAGCTTGTACGTCAGCGTCTGCAGCTCGTCCGCCGTGAACCCAATCTCGTTCAGCAGCACGTGGTAGTGCGTGGGCCGACTGGTCCCTTGCAGCCCCGCGTGGCTCATCAAGTAGAAGTCGTTCTCGATGGGGTGACAAATAGCCGTATCGACCACTGTCCCCGCCTTGACATTGCCGCTGCGGTCGGCGTCTTTTGCATCGGCAGGGAACAAGCGCGTGTTGTGCCGCTTCTGGACAATCACAAACGTGATCGGTGGCATGTACCCCACCTCCAGCGCCCGACACGCCTCGCGGAGCGCCGTCACTTCGTGGTTCAGCACCATATGGAACTGCCCTTCGCTCACGCCGTCGCGATAGAACACAATGCGGTCCGGCTTGCCGTGCGTCTGGCGGTAAAACTGCTTCAGCAGCTCCACGGCCATGTCCTTCAGGTTCTCAATCTGTTCCACGCGATGGCCTTGCGCGCGGATCGTCGACGCGTGGCGGACAAAGTGCGTGTCCATGGACGCCGTCACGGCCGCGATCGACGGCCGCGTTCGGTCCAGTGGACTCGGGTGCGTCACGTCGGCGCCAAACACAATGGTGCGGGACGCCGACACGCGCGGCAGCGGACCGCTAATGACGCCGTTCAGGCCGCCCAGCTTCGTGTTCACCTTCATCAGAATGTTCGCAATGTACTGCGGACTGCACTTGGGAATGTGCTTCGCCAGCATGCACTGCGACACAATGCCCACGCCCGCTTCCGTGTCCGACATGAGCTTGAGCTCGCCATACGCGCGCGCGTCCGCCACGGGGTTGACCATCCACACGACTTGCGGCGCCGTCTTGAACGTCTGCGTCGCCGCCTTCACTGCCGCTTGAAACATCGTGCGCACGGTATCCTCGCGGCGCTGCTTCAACAGAATGGGCGGCAGCACCGCCGGACAGCGCATGCCCAGCTGCCCCATCTGCGCCACCACTGCCTTAAAGAACTTTTGCAGGTCGCCGAGCCCGCAGCGCCGCGGGTCGCACAGGCTCAGGACCGCCCACGACTTGAGCGGCGCCGGCGTGTGGAAGCGCTTGCCGCGCATGTTCCACGCGCCGTCGCGCGGGTTCTCGCGCGCCCCGCCGCTGTACTCGATCGTCGGGGGCGGCAGCTGGCGGCCCGTGGCCTCGACCATGTGCGGGTCCACGCGCAGCCCAAACGCGCGCAGCGTGGGGTCCGTGCTAAAGCCCGCCTCGCGCAGCTTCTGCTCGATCGCGCGCTTGCGCTTGTCGGGCGGCGTGCACGTGAAGCGGATCATGTTGGCCACCTGCTTGTCCGTGGGCTTGCGCGGGCTCTTTTGGCCCGCGAGCACGCGGCACACTTCGATCGGCAAGTAGTTGCGCTTCTGCGGCGCGCCCACGTGCAGACAGGGCAGCTGCGGGTACTGCAGGCGGCGCTGGTACGTGGCGGCAAAGTAGTCGGCCACCGACACGCGCGCGCCAGCGTCCGTGTCGAAAAACGTGCGGTCGGCCGCGTCCTTCGAGAGGCCGTTCACGCGGTAGCTGCGGCGCACGCCCGGGCGGTGCGTGACCGTCACTCTGACGCCGCGCAGCGCTTTGCTGGCGGCCGCGTGCTGGTGCTTGGCCAGCGTCGACGGCAGCTGCCGCAGCGCCAGCGCCGCGCACAGGAACGTGGCCACGTCACTCTCCTCGACAAACGCCGTGGCCGCCAGGTCCATGTTGACCACGAGGCGGCTCTGCGTGGCGCGCAGGCTCTGGCAGTAGCCGAACCAGAGCTCGGCGCCCTCGCCCAGCGACGCGGCGCCCGCGCCGTGGAACAGGTTGCGGCCCACGACCGTGAAGCGCTGGGCCGCCGAGTGGCGCAGCGCCACGTCCAGCGCCTGCAGCGCGTCGTAGGGCGTGTAGTTGAGGCGGCCGGCAAACAGCGCGTCGAGCTGCGCGAGGCGCACGGCCACGGGGTCGGCCTCTTTGACCGTGGCCGCGAACACGCGCGCGCGCCCGCCGTCGGGCGGCAGCTGCAGCGCGTCGAACGTGCGCTGGGCGAACGGCAGCCGCGCGGGCGCGTACAGATTCTTGCGGCGGTCCGAGACGACCACCGCGTCGGGCAGTTCGCGCGCAAGCGCCTGCACGAGCGCCGCGAGGATCTGCGCGGCCAGCGCCTTGGGCGGCCCCTCGTTGCCAAAGCTGCGCCCGTCTTCGGCCATCGCCACGTCGTAGTGGAACACGTCGCCGGCGCCGGCGGCCACGTGCACGCGGAAGTGGTTGGCCCAGAGCTTCACGGGGCGGCCGAGCGCGCCAAAGCCGGGCCGCGGCGGGAAGTGCGTCTGCACGAGCGGCTGCACGAGCGCCGGCGGCGGAGAAGACGCGGCCGTAGCGCCGCTGACCTGCGCCGCGGCGGCCAACTGCTGCGCGAGCGCGTCGACAGCTGCAGCAGCAGACGCAGTAGGAGGGGGCGTGGCGGCTGCAGCAGCAGCAGCAGGTGCAGCCGTGGGGGCGTGGCGGCCACGGCCGCGGCCTCGACCGCCGCCGCCGCCGCGCGCGCGGCCAATCACTGGCTCTGAACTCGTCGGCTGTTTCGGGCGGCGAGGCGGCATCTTGAAGTGTGAGGCGGAGGCCGCAGAGGGGAATGGGAGGGGGATGGCGGGCGGGCGGGGCGACAGGGACGTTGGCGCTACTTTAGCGCGACATCACCGTTGCGATGGGCGTCTCGTTTCTTGCACGACGAAAAAGGGGGTGTCGAGGCTCAAACGGGAAGGTGAGGAGGGGGGGGGGGGGGGTGGCATTGGGGACGCAGTGGGGTGCGGTGCGTTTACTTTACGCTTACTTTTTGTTGCTGGCGTGGCGAGAGCGACAGCGTGGCGCGATCCGGTTGTTAAGTGGTTGTGGTCGTGCCACTTTACACGGACGTGTCGAGGGTTAGTGTGGATATCGAAGGAGTGGGTAAGTGTAGCTGCCAGAGTAGAGATGGACGTTTGAGTGGCATCCGACGGTCGGGTTGCAGCTGTTGGCCGCATTGAACGGATGGCTGCGCTGTTGATTGATCAGGTGCTGGTGGTGCGATAATGATGTCTTGATGACAGCTGATCCCGTTGGTCTCTATCAGCATCGTTCCCTCTTTATAACAACAGCATATTTAAGGGTCACGTGCACGTCCGTTCGTCACCATAATTACATGTGAGTAGGAAGCGCTCTCGACACTCCTTCGTTGTTTGTCCACTGGGTCGAGCCCATCACTGAGAAAGACCCCGATCTATAGCACATAAATGAATCTGATCAGTGTGATGATATAGACCCCGTTCCGGTACCGTTAGAAAGCGAGATTTGGATTCATTGAACCCGTTACCCGTACCGGTATAGTCCGAGATCTGGATTTACAGAAACCGTACCAATACTGGTGGATAGCAAGGTTTGCATAGTTCAACCGGAAACCAATTGAAGGCGAGAGCTTCAAGACAGCTCCAGCTATCTGAAGGCTACATCAAAAGCTTTTGAATGGAGGAAGCCATACCTCACATGGCGGTCTCATTCGTTACAGATTGCTCTTTTCAAGCTTCCACAGCCTAGATGTATGAACATAGCTGCGCTTGTCGCGTTTCGTCTTGACCGTGACAAGTTGTCAGTCTTCTGAACTGCGGAAGTGAAGGTGTCAAGCCTGTCATTCTCACTCATGTATTGAGGATACTAAACCGCAATGCATCGGACACTCTTCCACCTCAATCGAGTCAACGAGCCAGACCACCTCAATCGGTAGTCAGGTGCCGCCTAAAGGTATTGTGATGACGGGTTACACGTAGCCACACGACGCACTTGACGATTGTGAGGGTATACTGAAGCTCTACTGACGCGCGACGCCAGCAGACATTTGGCGCTCCCGTCTTCATCTAGAAAGCGAGTGGGGCATCACTACGATTTGTGAAGAGACGAAGGTTCAAAACAGTCTATTTGCACTGAGACAACTCAATGTGCAAGATATTAGATACGTGAAGTCCACCTCGGTCGTCTAGAATGATATCAGCAAGCCCCGCCTCGCTTTCTCGTTCTGCTGGCTTAACATCTCGGGCGTCGCGGGGGAAGGCACCCCCGACAGGGCATGGAGGCGTGACTAATGCCCAAGTACGAGGTGAGATGCAGTACGCACTCTTGACCAGATGGCTGAGCTGCTCACGTGCTCGGAGCTTACCTGCTTCCAGGGGACAGAGGATGCATGGCCTGAAGTCCGTTCCACTCGCTCCACTCGCTTCGGCAGTCCCGACGTGCCGTCTTGACAAATGCATCGACTTCTTATGCGGAATCGACTTGCTGTACTCCCCGGGCCAGTTCCCGATTCCAGTCAGTTGTAGATGTGCCTCGACACACCACTAGACGAAGAGTATCTGGCCTGGTGCTTGTTGTATGAACGAGCCGGCACCATGTCTTGTCGGGGCCGTCCCGTTCTAAGGGAATTCGCAGCGTGGGACAGGGGCGTACGCACAACCAATATGTCGGCGATGAGGACTGCCAGCGAAGGGCAGGAACTAGCGCGGTGAAGGATGAGCCTGACATCCGTCGGCGACTTCTACACCGCAAGACAAACTGCAGATTGCAACTCAAACGTCGGGTCGTACGCTGCGATGTCTCCCGTAGCACGCGCGGCGCAGACATAATCTCTCCTTTTTACTTGGCCTCAGGATGGGCACTTCTCGTCCGAGGAAAGGTGGGAGAAGTTCTAGCGCACTGGTGCCTCAGGGACACTCGTCTCTATTTGAATGCACACAAGGCTGCACATTGAGAGCACCACTATGACCTGTTGTTGACCACCTGTGGAATCACTTGTGCACGACAGACTGGCAACCTGATACGTCGTTTTCCGCGAGAGTGGCCCGAGCTGTGCTGTGGTGCTTTATCCGGCTACCTGGCACTGACCGTCGCGCTTGCAATTCTGTAAGAGTCCTGCTTCTTGCTGGTGTACTCGATCGCGGTGAATAGAGCAGGAGTAGCAATTGCGAGGAGATGTCGATCGAGGCGGCAGTGACTCAGTGTATCCAGAATGGCATCCAGGAAATGGCACCCAAAGCAAGCACGCGGCTCTGACACACGTATCTCCTCGGCATACAAGTGTAGGCAGACTCGTACTAGCTGGGAAGGACTTGACTATCGACATACCGCGGCTCAAATCAGGATGCTGGACAGACCAGGTCCTGGCTGATGCGTCAGCGCGTGTCTAATAGCTCGATGCGATCGGGAACGCCTGGCTGGACAGAGTTAAGACATGAAGTAATGGGAAAGTGTTTGCATGGAGAATGGCTACAGTAGGGAAGAGATCGAGATCGCAGGGTGACGTCCCAATTGGAGTCGCCAGTATCGCCGTCGATGCGTGCGCACGCCGAACATATGCAGAACATGAGCAGCTGGGCGAGAGAGGATGACGGGTGGACTATGCTAATCGGAGCACGGAGCGGATCAATAGCGTCAGGATACGATCGTGGCGACACTGCTTGGATAGATCGAGTCGCGGAATGCACATCTCTGTTTGTACGTGGACTGCATCAGCTTTTGTCTGGGCTCTCGATGCGTCTCGGATGATTGTAGACGACTGAGGTGGTTGCGGCATCGTTCACGGGGTCAGGACGGTCAATTGGCCATGCAAGTGGCAACCGCTAACGTCGTACGATGATATGTGACTGTCTTTCCACCTTCAACGACGCAGTCAAACGTCCATGTTCCGCCGGAAAGACGTCCATAGTAGCGCAAGTTAACTCGTAGCACTAGTAGTCGATCAAGAATGTCAACACCACCAGCACCTGATCAATCAACAGCGCAGCCATCCGTTCAATGCGGCCAACAGCTGCAACCCGACCGTCGGATGCCACTCAAACGTCCATCTCTACTCTGGCAGCTACACTTACCCACTCCTTCGATATCCACACTAACCCTCGACACGTCCGTGTAAAGTGGCACGACCACAACCACTTAACAACCGGATCGCGCCACGCTGTCGCTCTCGCCACGCCAGCAACAAAAAGTAAGCGTAAAGTAAACGCACCGCACCCCACTGCGTCCCCAATGCCACCCCCCCCCCCCTCCTCACCTTCCCGTTTGAGCCTCGACACCCCCTTTTTCGTCGTGCAAAGAAACGAGACGCCCATCGCAACGGTGATGTCGCGCTAAAGTAGCGCCAACGTCCCTGTCGCCCCGCCCGCCCGCCCGCCATCCCCCTCCCATTCCCCTCTGCGGCCTCCGCCTCACACTTCAAGATGCCGCCTCGCCGCCCGAAACAGCCGACGAGTTCAGAGCCAGTGATTGGCCGCGCGCGCGGCGGCGGCGGCGGTCGAGGCCGCGGCCGTGGCCGCCACGCCCCCACGGCTGCACCTGCTGCTGCTGCTGCAGCCGCCACGCCCCCTCCTACTGCGTCTGCTGCTGCAGCTGTCGACGCGCTCGCGCAGCAGTTGGCCGCCGCGGCGCAGGTCAGCGGCGCTACGGCCGCGTCTTCTCCGCCGCCGGCGCTCGTGCAGCCGCTCGTGCAGACGCACTTCCCGCCGCGGCCCGGCTTTGGCGCGCTCGGCCGCCCCGTGAAGCTCTGGGCCAACCACTTCCGCGTGCACGTGGCCGCCGGCGCCGGCGACGTGTTCCACTACGACGTGGCGATGGCCGAAGACGGGCGCAGCTTTGGCAACGAGGGGCCGCCCAAGGCGCTGGCCGCGCAGATCCTCGCGGCGCTCGTGCAGGCGCTTGCGCGCGAACTGCCCGACGCGGTGGTCGTCTCGGACCGCCGCAAGAATCTGTACGCGCCCGCGCGGCTGCCGTTCGCCCAGCGCACGTTCGACGCGCTGCAGCTGCCGCCCGACGGCGGGCGCGCGCGCGTGTTCGCGGCCACGGTCAAAGAGGCCGACCCCGTGGCCGTGCGCCTCGCGCAGCTCGACGCGCTGTTTGCCGGCCGCCTCAACTACACGCCCTACGACGCGCTGCAGGCGCTGGACGTGGCGCTGCGCCACTCGGCGGCCCAGCGCTTCACGGTCGTGGGCCGCAACCTGTTCCACGGCGCAGGCGCCGCGTCGCTGGGCGAGGGCGCCGAGCTCTGGTTCGGCTACTGCCAGAGCCTGCGCGCCACGCAGAGCCGCCTCGTGGTCAACATGGACCTGGCGGCCACGGCGTTTGTCGAGGAGAGTGACGTGGCCACGTTCCTGTGCGCGGCGCTGGCGCTGCGGCAGCTGCCGTCGACGCTGGCCAAGCACCAGCACGCGGCCGCCAGCAAAGCGCTGCGCGGCGTCAGAGTGACGGTCACGCACCGCCCGGGCGTGCGCCGCAGCTACCGCGTGAACGGCCTCTCGAAGGACGCGGCCGACCGCACGTTTTTCGACACGGACGCTGGCGCGCGCGTATCGGTGGCCGACTACTTTGCCGCCACGTACCAGCGCCGCCTGCAGTACCCGCAGCTGCCCTGTCTGCACGTGGGCGCGCCGCAGAAGCGCAACTACTTGCCGATCGAAGTGTGCCGCGTGCTCGCGGGCCAAAAGAGCCCGCGCAAGCCCACGGACAAGCAGGTGGCCAACATGATCCGCTTCACGTGCACGCCGCCCGACAAGCGCAAGCGCGCGATCGAGCAGAAGCTGCGCGAGGCGGGCTTTAGCACGGACCCCACGCTGCGCGCGTTTGGGCTGCGCGTGGACCCGCACATGGTCGAGGCCACGGGCCGCCAGCTGCCGCCCCCGACGATCGAGTACAGCGGCGGGGCGCGCGAGAACCCGCGCGACGGCGCGTGGAACATGCGCGGCAAGCGCTTCCACACGCCGGCGCCGCTCAAGTCGTGGGCGGTCCTGAGCCTGTGCGACCCGCGGCGCTGCGGGCTCGGCGACCTGCAAAAGTTCTTTAAGGCAGTGGTGGCGCAGATGGGGCAGCTGGGCATGCGCTGTCCGGCGGTGCTGCCGCCCATTCTGTTGAAGCAGCGCCGCGAGGATACCGTGCGCACGATGTTTCAAGCGGCAGTGAAGGCGGCGACGCAGACGTTCAAGACGGCGCCGCAAGTCGTGTGGATGGTCAACCCCGTGGCGGACGCGCGCGCGTATGGCGAGCTCAAGCTCATGTCGGACACGGAAGCGGGCGTGGGCATTGTGTCGCAGTGCATGCTGGCGAAGCACATTCCCAAGTGCAGTCCGCAGTACATTGCGAACATTCTGATGAAGGTAAACACGAAGCTGGGCGGCCTGAACGGCGTCATTAGCGGTCCGCTGCCGCGCGTGTCGGCGTCCCGCACCATTGTGTTTGGCGCCGACGTGACGCACCCGAGTCCACTGGACCGAACGCGGCCGTCGATCGCGGCCGTGACGGCGTCCATGGACACGCACTTTGTCCGCCACGCGTCGACGATCCGCGCGCAAGGCCATCGCGTGGAACAGATTGAGAACCTGAAGGACATGGCCGTGGAGCTGCTGAAGCAGTTTTACCGCCAGACGCACGGCAAGCCGGACCGCATTGTGTTCTATCGCGACGGCGTGAGCGAAGGGCAGTTCCACATGGTGCTGAACCACGAAGTGACGGCGCTCCGCGAGGCGTGTCGGGCGCTGGAGGTGGGGTACATGCCACCGATCACGTTTGTGATTGTCCAGAAGCGGCACAACACGCGCTTGTTCCCTGCCGATGCAAAAGACGCCGACCGCAGCGGCAATGTCAAGGCGGGGACAGTGGTCGATACGGCTATTTGTCACCCCATCGAGAACGACTTCTACTTGATGAGCCACGCGGGGCTGCAAGGGACCAGTCGGCCCACGCACTACCACGTGCTGCTGAACGAGATTGGGTTCACGGCGGACGAGCTGCAGACGCTGACGTACAAGCTGTGCTACACGTTTGCGCGCTGCACGCGTTCTGTGTCGATGGTGCCGTCTGCGTACTACTCGCACCTGGTCGCGTTCCGTGCCCGTTTCTTCTTGGTGGACAGCAGCGACTCTGGCTCGACTGTGTCGGGGTTCAGCGAGACGGCTCCGGAGACGGACACGCGCATGTACGACGTGCATCCTGCGATGAAGAGCGCGATGTACTTTGTGTAGCTGCTTTGGTGGCTGCACTGGTCGACGCGACGTTCCGCGTGGAAGGTGTCGGACGCGCATGTGGTACGTGAGTTGTTCTATTGCACGAATGGTGATTGGGAGGATGGCCGTTCGTAACGGGACTGCATGTGGTGTGCAGCAACAAGTCAAGAAGAGAAGACAACGACGACAACGACGATGCACGTGACGGTGTTGCAGCTGTTCAGCTCGTGGTGAGCAGCCAGATGGCGACGGCATTGTAGTCACCCGACACTGTGCGTCATGTTGCGTTGTTTTCTCTCTGCATTAAGCGTTCGCGTTGGATGGTGTATGAATGGAAAGACTGTTGCTGTTCTTCCCCTTCATACACCTTCCAACGCGATTGCTCAAGACTGTTGCTGTTCGTCCATTGGCATGTCGAGAGTGTGTTTGCTGCTGCTGCTGCTGCTACTGGAAGCAACTGGTCTGCGTTCGCTCGATTTAAATGGCCAAATGCCTCTGATACTGATCGTTTCGCCCTCTTCTTCCGTCGGAGGCGGTCGTCCGTCCGTCGATATGGCTCCGTCACTCGATAGTGCTGCATTGGACTGGCTCGATGTAGCAGTGTCTGTCTTTGAGTATGACGCACGAGTGCTTGCACACGACCGAGTCAGCTGATACGCATGTACGTGTCCAAGCGTAGGACATCGCTGTGGTTCACTTGCGTCCACTATGGCACAGGTCGCTCGTTGGTAGTAGGAGTTTTTGATTGACATGCACACGAGACGGTGGGGACTGTATTGACCAATGCACGAGGGAAAGTTAGAAGTGTCAAAAACAAAACGGACTCACTGCACGTCGTGCTTGCCGTCTCCAGTGTGTAACATTTGGAAGATACAAACAGCGTAGCAATGTTAGTGGTGCGACCGGTAGGAACGTCCCGAGTGCGATAGCTGCTACAAATGGGCTGCAGCAGATATACATAGCGACGACTGCAATGGATTTAATGTCTTTCGAAATGCATCGAGCTCGAAAGATACCTGTGACAAAGTCCCGCAACATCTGACTTTGTTTTGTGTCATTTTATCGATAATAGGTAGTTTTGGTCGTGTGGTATCAGAAAAGCCGACTGAACATCAAAATCTCGCACTAAACGCCCTCCGAACTGTGCAATGACGGGTATTACAGGATAGAGGAGGTCTACAGCTTATTAACCTGCATGGCGGTTTGATAAGGTACCCATTTGTGGACTATCTCTGCGCATCTGCCAGAGGATCCGTCCAAACATCACAGCCTTTTTCTGCCTACTTTAACGTGATCCGTGCTGACACGCCAAAACTGAGCGTATCGGCTTCCAATGTCGCTGATTCGCTCTCCCTCTCTCTCTCTCTCTTCCTCTTGCGACAGACACAAACGAGCAAGGACGTCCCCTGATACCGCCTGTACCGACCGCATCCCGCTCTGATCCTGCCTGTTCTACTACGCGTACAAAATACGAACGATCTTGTGTGGAACATGAACATTCTCCTGGCGTAGTCTTCGACGTCGCGCATGATACCAGCGATCGCCAACCGCATCGTATTGGCGGCTTCCGTGTTGGCATCACTCATACAGTCGAGTCGTGTCGTGAACAGCAAAGAGAAAGAGGAGACAATGGACTTTTGCTTTGCTTTCTCTCTCTCTCTCTCTCTCTCTCGAGTGCTGGCAGCCGATAGAAAGCAAAAGTGTCGAATCAGACGGTCGTACGCGCCGTCACGTGTCGTAACTGTCACTTGTTGGAGCGTTTTCGCGGTGGAGAGCGTCGTCAAACATTGTGGTCGTCGAACCGCCAACTGCAGTCGAACTGGAAACGCAGAGCCGCAGGTCCCAATCTCTGTCGAGGCGCCCAATGCTCGTTGTCGTTGCCACCGACAGCTCAAGAGGACACTGCGTTGTTGACAGCATCGGTCCTATGACCACAGATTGGCAAACGGCATTGAAATGTCCACTGTCCCGTTCATGCAGTCGAACGCCGTCGCGGAGGAGTCGACTCCATTCAATTATTCAGCGCGTCGAATGCAGCGGCTTTTAGGATATGCAAATGTCACGAAAACTTTCGGATCGGTGGCGGCATGTCACATTGCGCAGCAAGTCCGTATCGTCTGCCGACCAGACATAGTCAGTGCAAGTGTAGCGAGTTTCCTTGCACAGCGCATGTCACTTCTGCTGCAAGGGAAGAAAAGAGTGGCCAAAGGACGGGACGGGAGCACAAGCTCTGGACGCCTCCCACATCGGGTTCTCTCGTCTGAGTACGCTACTCATCATGCAGTGCAGACTGACTATGCGTAGGGGTACCATACTTTCCAGTGCCCAGACGACCGATGATCGCCTCGGGCCACGAGCTGCGGCAGCGCACGTGGCACAGTCAGTCATCAGTCTCTACACAGAACAAACCGAGTTGTCGTCTGCAATAACCGGCAGCGAGTCGCTTTTATTTTACAGGTACCAAAAAGATAAACCTCTCTACGCGAACACAGTGACGTGAACAGGTGTGTCTACAGTAAGCGTCCTGGCTACTTACAAATGCCAGGCGAAGGGGCAGAAGAAGGCGTCGCTCCAAGACGCGCGCGCACACGACAACAGCAGCCGAGCGCCAACGTCGTTTGCAGCTGCACACGTCGCATCGCCGACGACGACGGAACGTCCACTCCCCACCAGCCGACGCACGTCTAATCAAACGTCACGAGGTGCGAGTCCATACTGCTCAGCGCGATCGCAAACGCCTGCACGGGAGTGAACGGGTGCGCGTAGTCCATCGAGTACACCTGACGATCTTGTGTCCGGCCAAACAGCATGAGCGTCTTGTCCATGTCGTGCGGATGCGACAGCAAAAAGTTCTTCACGGACGCAGCAGCGACGCGGCCACCAAAGTCCAAACAGTACGCCTCGAGCGACTCGATCCAGACTGGCGGCTTGTTGATCAGATGCAACGCACGCGCTGCGTCCGGGTTCTCCACTTGGGCCAATATCGTGTCCTCCTTCGTCTCTGGTCGCCACGACTGCACTGCCCACGACGGCGTGCCATCCACCGCACTGTCGGCACCGGCAATGGGCTCCACAAGCGGCAGTGCAACGCGCATCTGACGCGGCGACTTGCCAAACGTTGCAGCGTACTGCACTGCGCCCAGCTCCAGCGGCACGTTCCCCGTCGTGTCGTACATGGTGTACTGCGAGCCCATGTAGTTCTTGTCGAGTCGAGCCACGGGCATCGCTGCGTTGATCGACGGCCCAAGCGCCTCTGCTTCTGTCGCCATTGTCCCGTCTGCTGCCGTGTCCACATCCGTAGCGAGAAAGATGAGAAAGCTCACCGACATGTCGTACTGGCGTCGACGCACTGCCGTGCACAGCAGCGTGTCCGTGTCCTGTGTATACAGCTCATAGTTCCCGCCGCCGCGCGTGCGAATGTAGCACTGCATCATGAGCGCCTGCGGCGGCACCGTCGCCATGAGGAACCGCGCGAGGCACACGGTATTGCGTCGCGCTGTGCACAGCAGCAGCTGCCGCAGCGCAACGTCGGCCGGCGGCGGCGGCTCCACGGGCGCCTGGTCGCAGGCCTTCACGTGGTCCGCCAGACGCGCTTTCTTCATGCTCTCGGCGCAGTAGCCGCAGCTGACAGTCATCTCGTTGGCCATGCGCTGGGCGTGGCGCGAGGCCGCCAAGAGCGAAAAGCCAATGGCTTCTCGACACATGGGGCACGAACTGCGCTCGCTCACCCAGCGCTCGATGCAGTCTTTGCAGAAGATCTGCCCACAGCACGTGGCCTCTGTCGCGTTCGTAAAGACCTCCTGGCAGATGGCGCACTCGAGCATCTTCCGCGTGTTCTCGAGCGCCTCGAGCTGCACGTCGCGCGGCACGCACTCGACTGCCGGCGGGTACCCGACGAACGTGCTCACTAAATTGCTCGCTGCGAGTGCCGACGCGGCCGTGCGCTGCCCCACGTGGCGGCTCTTGAGCGCCGAGTGGATCTCAAACAGGACGTCGACGACGTCGTTCACCGAGCGGCCGTGACGCGGCGGCTCGGCGTCGGGTTCGGCGTCGGGCTCGTGATCCACGTCCATCTTCTCCTCGTCAAACGACGACGACGACGATGACGCGTCGACGCTCGCGGGGCCGTCAAGAGACGACGACGACGTCGACAGGCAGAGCTGCTGCTGACTCGCGTCCGAGAAGCTCCGCGGGCTGTGGAACGAACCGGAACGGCTACCGGTACTCGTACCGGTACCAGACGTACTCATTGTGCTGCTGTACGGACTGCAGTGGCTGCTCGCGAGGTCCACGAGCCCTTCGCTGGCGGCAAAGAAGCGCGAGACTTCAATGTCCATCTCCAGGCGCTTGTGGCGCCGCGGGACGCGCGGACTGCTGCGCGGCGACAGCAGAATGAGCTCCGACAGCGTCCGCGTGCGGTGCATTTTGTTGCTGTGGCGCGGCGCAGTCAGCACGCGCAGGCGGCGCTGGGCAAAGCGAGAGGCCGGTGCGGCCCGGACGTCGGCGCTGCTGCTCGTGCTGCTGCTGCTGCGGTGGCTGCGGTTGCTGGGACTGGTCCGCGCGTCGGCGGCGCTGCTGGGCGACGGCACGAACGTGTGACTGGAGCTGCCGCCAGTTGGTGTCGTGGCAGTAGTAGTGGTCGTTGCCATGGATGAGGAGAGCCGCGGGAAAAAAAGCGCTTTGTTGCAGTGCGGCAGAGGCAGTGGCGGTAGAAGCGGCAAAGGGAAAGGGAAAGATGGACTGACGGACGGACGGACGGAATGTCTGGGGGTGGAAGCGGGCGGACGGTCGGTCGAGTGCGCACTGGATGCCGATCACAGACGCGAGCGCGGTGGAAGAGTGATGGTCACGGTGGGGGTCGGGGTGGGGGGGGCCGGTCCGGTCGAGTCGCTCGGTACGGCGCGCGAAATTCACAAATGCGGCACACTGGTGGGGCGCATTGACGGCGCGCGCGGGGGGGTCTGAACTCCCCTGGACCCAGCACGTGGGAGACGGGACGGCCACACGACACAAAAGAGACTGGCCGGATGGCTGGCCAGCCCTGTCTCCACACACACACACACACACAGACGGACCGACTACGCACATACTCTTGTCCAATGGTCCGCGCTCCCCTTCCCCTTGATTTCCGTCCTTGGCTCCGACTCTTCCACGACAACGTAACTGAACTGAGCCGCAGCATTGGGCTCGCGCAAAGGCAGCACAAAAGGGGCGACGGACGGACGGACGAGGGCGGCAGCGACCTGAACCCAGTGGCAAAACCGTCTGCGGCGTCTTTGCGCAAAAAGCAGGCTCAGGTCATCTCCACATGGCACCGTCGAAGGCTCCGTCCGGGGCTGACCCGACGGCGCTCGCACCGCTCTCGCTCGCTCGTTCGATTGTCCCAGCGACGGTTTCAGCCCGAGAAGCTGATGGCGACGGCAAGCGACGGGATTGACGACCGCGCCGTCTCGGTGACGGAGGAAGCCGAGTCAGTCGACGCACGGGCGGACTTAAGGCCCAGCGCGCGACAGAGCAAAAGAGCGTCGCGGGCTAAACAGTGCGACATGTTTCTTGCCGGGGGAGGATCATGGAAAGCTGTTTCTCGATCGTTTTCTTCTTCACGCTCGAGGCGGTCCCCTCGTGCCTGAGCGAGTGACTTCAATGCCGGCGCACGAACGCGCTAAAGTCGACAGCAACTGGTAGAGGGGCTCGCTAGTTTTCGAAAACGAACAAAAGCGGGGCGAATCAGACGCGATGGCGGATGATTGTCGTACAGATTCCAAGAGAGCGTCTGAGCGGTGGGTGACCGGATAATGTTCAGACTCGTTTCACCTCGTCGTCCCTTGTGACCTCGTTGTGATCGAGGTCGTCGTCACCCCAATAGTAGCGCGCTGCGATCCATAACGAGCGCCAATGTGCCTGTCTGTGAATGTTTGCAGCCCCCGCTTTTACATACACGTTATGTCGAGACCTGTTCAAAATCGTCAGGTGGGTCCTCGTCAGGCGCGTTATTCGCTTTCCGTCCTGAGAAAAAAAACCCAGAGGCACTGACTTTATTGCGTGCCGACCATGCGCTGAGCGAGTCCAGCGCCAGCAGTCGATCCAATTCGACGAGCGGATCTCTCGCTGCAGTGCCCAACGCTCACATCGCGATGGTAACGAGCCAGCTGGTCGGTCCCAGCCGGCCAGCTGGCACGAGTCAGACCGCTCGCTTGCAATCGAAGCCACACTGCAGAGCGGTGAGCTCTCGCCCGCAGCACGGCCTTTACCATTGGTATCGTGTGCAAAGCGTAACTGTGAGAAACATGGCCGTTTGGGGGTTGGTCGTGCGCTTGTCAACGCGGTAAAGTCGTGCACTCTCACGTCTGCACGTCCAAAGTGCGATGCGGTACTCGACGTCGCACCACCGATCGTGGCATTGCTGACGTGGTCTGTCACGGCCCACTGCCAAAGTTCAACTGAGCATCGCTACTACCACAACAGACTTGCTCTGCATACAAAAGCTCTGAATAGATCGATCGCATGCAGGAGATCGCAAAAAGCATAGTGGAAACCGAGAGCCGACGATTGACTCACAGTGTACCCTTTTGCGTCTAGGCCGCTCTGGCACCGTCTTCGCACTGTTCCACTCTTTCTGTGACGGCTCGATGCATGTCGTGCGGCGTGAGACCCATACGTCCACGCCACAACTTGTACACTCGCAACGGATCCTCGTTGGTGACCGCCTCCAGCACGTCGCTAGCTCTGTCCTGGTCATTTAGCAGACCAAACCAGTCACCGGTAGGGTACGCGACACACGTTGCTGCGAAGCGGTGACCGCCCATGTGACTGGACAGCCACAAATGCAGCGGCTTGTCGTCGCGCGAGGCCGTGGCTTTTAGCCACTGCAGCAGTTCTGGCCCTTTGCAGCCACAGCGTACGTCTCTAGTATCACAACGAACAAGCGTCAGCCATTGCGAGCGTGAGCACATTGCCAACAGGTGAGAACGAGAGAGAGAGAGAGAGAGACAACACACACGGAGACTCTGGTTTACCTTGCAGCATGACCACACACCATCACATGGTACCCCTTTTCCATATCCGCGTAGCGCATCTTCCTGCCACCGAGCACGTTGACAAAGCGTGACATACGGGCCAACTAACTCTCGACATCACTACCCGCAACCCAAGAACCAATACACCATCGACGCACGTACTCTCGTCGTAGCAACGCAGACAAGTTTGACGCAGTCTCTAGAGCTCCCCGCACTAGCAGTGGAACTGTCAACAAGAGACAATGACACTGCACGTGAGATCATCCCAATCGATTGGAACTCTGCAATCAGTCCATTCAGCTAACGCCCGAGACGGACTTTGCACAGGATCGACGTCATGAACGCGCACGGCATCCGGGAAGACGAGAACGTCATGTGTCCCTTTTTCTGCACGATCCACACGTGTCTTCCCCTCTTCTTCTTCTTCTTCTTCTTGCAGCCGAAAAGCACTGCACGTGTCCATATATGGAATCGCTGCTGTCACGAGCAACGGACTCTTCCTGACCTTCACGACATCTCCGCCATACAGTGCCACCAGCGCGTCCCGATACAAACTCAAGGCGTGGCCGGGCGTGTGCTCGAGCTTTGCGGGCCACGACTTGGAGTCCGTGTGCTGCGGCTCCACAATGACACAGTGGCGGGTGTAGTACCGCACCGATCCTTCGATGTACAGCGTAGAGCCAGCGCTCGTCTCCTTCCCATGCGCTGCTAAACGGACCGCGTTGCGCGCGGCGCGGCGCTCGACGAGTTGCTCCGAAGTCAGTCGCGGGCTGAATCGAGAGCTTGAGGCGGTGAAGGGACGGGGCGCGACGACGCAGTGAGCGATGCGCTGCGGCTGGTGGACACGGCGAGAGCCGACGGCGAACGTGCGGCGCATGAACATGTTGAGGAGCTGTTGGTGGTGTAGGTGTACACTTCGGGCTGTCAGTTGTGTGGCGCTAGACCGGAAGGATCGAGGCAGGCGGGCGTGTTTGCCACGTCAATAATAGAGCGATGCAGAAGATAGAGGAATAGATGGATGGATGGATGTTGGTTGATGCGCAAAGTAGCGATAGATTGCTCGATAGATGCACAGGTCGGTCGATAAATAGATCGAGAGATAGATTGTCGGATGGATGCATCGGTCGATCGATCGATCGTTCGACCGATGAATAGATATACCGATGAAATACCGATCGATAGAGCCTCGCTGTCTACTTTTGTGTACTTGTGGCGGCACTGCTCTATCTGGCGCACTTAAGCAGCAGCGCAACCGTCATCAGATTATTCTGGGGCGTCTTTTGCTCTGCTCGAATTGTGCACGTCCGACTTTGATCGTACAAAAACAACATGCGTACATACTGGAAGACAAGCGTGAGCTCCTTCCAGTGACACGTTTTCGCCAGTCACAACTTCAACGACCCACTTGTCATACGCAAACGCTTTTCCGCACATGTTTCAACTGCATCCTCCAGTCACAACTCACAGCCATTAGCAGCACAACTGATCGCATTGAATTAAACATAATGCGCTCAAAGGATACCCAATTGCAGAAAAGCGTTACCGTTTAGCTGCTACTGGCCATCATTCAAGACGCATTGCAAAGAGGATCCAACGCGCTGTTCGTGCAACATATGAGCCACTGCTAGTCGTCGAGCTGCTTCTTGACTACCCGCGCACGATGCACCAAATCCGTTACTTCTCGCAATGTCAAAAACTGAGCTCAAAACTTCGTCCGCTGTTGGATTCGCTGTCAAAGTTCATTAATGTCCGCCTCCACACGAACTATATGTCGGTCTTCGCTACGTGGCAGCTGCGCAGCACACCGGTAGCTCACTGCAATCGTCCGAAAAGCTCCACAAGTGTCCCATTGTCTTCTCCACCCGCTGCCTTCCACACGACTTCCCATCGACTCTACATCTCGTTCCATCATTGAACCACAGCACTTTGACAGTGCAATCGATGCCCACGTCGACTTGTGCCTAAATCCACTGCCAACGCTTTCGACAATTCGTGAGGCCTTCGCTACGCTTTGGTGCTTTCTTGGACAAATGAGTGCTGCAGCAGGTAGCTGTCGTCCCTGTTCACTTCGTTGGCACTCGGTTCCGTCATCAAAGACACGGCGATGGTGACGACGGGGGGTATGATCAACGTCACGATGAACGTGATCATGCTGTTCTGCGAGTAGAGACCTTCTGGCAAGACGAACCAGTTGAAGCCGCCCACGAACTTGCCCTGCATGATGACGCCACAGACAAAGATCGTGACCAGACCAGAAGCGCTGCCAGCGAGTGCACCTGGACGGGTCGCGCGCTTCCACGTGCACAGCAGCATGGGACCAACGGCAGCCGTGCACAGGAGATCAGCAATGAGGTACAGTGTCAGGATGTCGTACTGCTGGTAGCCGATGGCGATCGCAGGCGCGTTGAGGAGCACTGCAACGAAGGAACAGAACAGAACGGTAAACAGGTTACCAACACACACACACACACAGCAGTACATACGACGGGAAGCTTCAAGCACGCACCACAGACAATGCGCGCGTGTACCAACGACATCGTGGGGAAGCACGTGGTGAGCTCAGCTGCCAGTCCAATTTGAATCGAATCGGACACGCCGCTTGATAACATGGCAATCACTACAACAATGAGCACTTGCCAGCCGCGGCCCATGTCGATGAGGATCGCGAAGAACAAGGCACCGTCTGGGTACGCGAGATACGACACCATGCCGGCGATGGCAAGCGCCACGGTGAACAATGCAATGATCACGCTGGCAAGCACGGCCCCTCTGCGCAACGTGCGGTCGTCGTAGGCCGCGTACACGCGTTGCCAGAAGCCCGTGAAGAACAAATTGGACGCCGTCACTGCAATCACGAGCGTCACGAGTGTCTCAAAGCCGGTGGTCGTGAACGCAGCGACGTTCGTGCGGGCCCAGGCGCCGTCGGGGATCGACACGTGGAAGAACATTGCGATGCAAACGATCGTGACGAGCGCCACGACGCCAATGCCTTGCCACACGTCGGTCGCCAAGCTCGCGCGCAGGCCGCCGATCACGAGGTAGAGGTTCGTGAGGAACGCGACAATGAGGATCGGCACGATCGGGTGCGCACTGGGCGACAGCATTGTCGTGAGCTGGGCAATGCACGTGTACTCGGACGCGAGGCAGATGAACTGGTAGAACATCGAGATGAAGCCGACGTAGACTTGCAACACGTAGCCAAAGCGCTGCGAGACAACGTCCGTCATCGTGACGTTCTCGCCGAGGGCCGAGCGCGTGGACGGCCCAACAAGAGCGAGCACGAGCATGCCGACTACGCCAGAGAGCGCGTAGCCAATGACGCCCCACGCGCCTGCGTCCACGCCAATCTGCGGGTACGAAAAGAGCGTTCCAGCGCCAATGCCGGCCGAGAACAAACACCACGCGAGCCGCAGCGTCGTGGTCGAGTTCTTGGCACTGGAGGTTGGGTGGCACGCAATAGATCAGACACACACAGGCACACACACACACGTTTGCCACGGCAGTCAGGACAGGATCAGTGAGTCCCTCACACACACACACACACACACACATAGTCAACTGGACGCACCTGACAAAGCTTTGGACCGACTGAATGTCCATCCGGCGACTCACGACAATGGCGTAGGCAGCAACGGCAATGAGAGTGGCAGCCATTACGCCGCTGAACACGCCGCTCGCCAGCATTTGACTCAGTCTGAATGAGGGACACCACCACCGACAACAACAAGAGACAGAGAGAGTTCGGTGAGTAAGGAAGCGATTTCTCTTTTGCTTGAACAAAACCGACGCGGCATTGGGATGTGAATGGACTGGGCACCTAACGGTATCTCTAGTGGTCGGTCGGAGCTGGCAATGGTTAGGCAGTGCAATACACACAGACACACAGACACAAAGAGAGAGAGAGAGAGAAGCAGAGCGGTCAAGAGAAGAGAAGAGCAGCAGTCCCTCCGCCGGTATGATCCGGATCAGGTGATAAGGGTCTCATCTCAGCCGGCCAGCGAACGCATGGAACTCGTCCATGGCTGGCACGCGGCACCCCTCGCTGATGATAGCGTTAGTGTAAGTTATGTATACAATCGCCAAGGACTCGTTCCAAGAGGCAAGTGGACAGTTGTGTGCAGGAGATGCAGCAGAGGTAGTACCGGAGCGTATGGATGGACGGAGGCGGATCGGAAGGAGACACTGCACGCGCGTTGACGAATGCGAACGAGTGGTCGCGTGGCGGGTCTTTTGGACCACTGCAGAGGGCGAGAGAACCAGACGTGTCTATGCAACACACGCCCGGTATCTCGTTCGGGTCCGGTTGGATGGGCGGAGCTTGTCGCCGGAAGCGGTGGCTCGCTTCGCCAATCTTCAGGACCGGTCGTGGAAAGATGCGGCGTCGGCGGTCGTTCGTTGATCGCGTGTCATGCAGACAAGGAGGAGGGGGCGTGACGAGGAGGAATTGTGTGGACTGCTTGACTACGCGAGTGAAGCGGGTCTTGGTCTGCACGTAGATCGAACTGTAGCGTACGCATTGCCGACGTAGTGGATGAGCTTCCGCCACAACTGACGTGACACTTTCAGTCTCTTGGGTGTCGGCTCGTCGGTACACTTTTGCAGCGGCGTACGGCGCCAAAAGTGTAGTGAATGGTAACCTGACAGCAGCAGCATCGACAACTTAGTGACAACATGGCGGCGAGCTCAATAGGGAGCTGGCCACACTGCGCGACTGCAAATTTGCACCGGGAGAAACTTGTCTTCTCTGTTGCACTGAGCACTCGTGTGCATTAACGTATGCGACGATGTTGCACGTCTACGTGGACGTCGCATTGGAACTTGTGGGGTGCCTATTGCCCATGACACATGTAGAACCGAGGCAGATTCTTGAGAGGAGGAAGGAGGTTATGTGTTCCTGCTGTACGCCTGGAGGACCGCTACTGTGTACAATGCCGTATGGATGCAGACTGTACACCGCATTATGCACATGCGCTCATTCCTTGTTGATGGTAGAGACAACTGGAGGTTTATTTGTGTGAATATAGGAGACTACACTGTCATCGTGCTCGCCACGGCTCGTCGTTTGTCAGCGTTGGGGTGGAATGGTACCCGAGTGGCAAAGCTGGACGCCAGAACTAGATGCAATGCGGCATATGTTCGCGGACGATCATCTTGAAAATCGGTCCATATAAGGTCACGTTCGTCCTCGTTTCGTCCTCGTTTCGTCCATGTTTCTGCCCTCCTCTGCTTCTACTTGTACTCCTTAGAGTGTGACCGTAGATCGCTTCTTTTCATCCTGCCGTGATCAGATCCCAGAGGCGCTACTGCAGGTGGACGCATCCACAACATGTACAACAAGTAGCAATGGAACAGGTGACCACCACGACTCAGGACGACGTTTCAGTCAAAGGTCTGATGACAATGACACTCATCAAGATGATGATGGAGGCCTGAAAGGACGAAGTACCTGCCTTCGTGTACGTCGAGTGTCGTGTGATCCAGACATTATGTCAGTTGTGCGCTCTTCGGTGGCAACGTGGGTTCTGGCGTTGGTGACGATGTCCTTGGCTGGTTTGTTTCGATTTGTATGTGCGGTACGCTGCGCAACGACTACGACCCACAATCTTTGTCCGAGTCTAGCAATCTGGCGGACATAGCCTGCGGTAGCCTACAGTCTGTCAGTACAAATGGTGACAGTCTTCTTGCTATCATTTGGTGCTCCGCAGATACCCGGTTGCGGTTGGGTGGCGTGCGGCGGGCAGTCTATCCGACGTCGACGGAGATTGATGTATCGAGTCAGTTGACATCATGCTTGACATGGTGTTTGACGTGTTGTTGAAGTCTTCGAGCGGCGGCCCGGTCGGTCGGCGCGTGACCTCGGATCGAGTGATTGGTATCCGGTGCAACGTTTGCAGCAAGTTCTACCACCTCGTTAAGTGCACGGTGATGGTGAGTCCCGCTGGCGACCATGATATCATCGGCTTGAGCCCGCACTTTTGACAGAGTGCGGTGAGGTTCGGCTTGCGTTGCAGCGGTACACCTCGGAGCGGGGTGCTACTATTTTCGGTCAACGATAACAGGAGCAAAGCCGCTATCAGTTGCCTGCTGTCGACCATAGGACAAGGCCACCACCGCCGACTTGCATCCTTGACTAGAATGATGTAAACTACCTCCCTAAGTTCTATCTCGTCTTGCACGATGCAGCTTTATCTTCCTTTCACGGCTCGTAGATTCGCTCACAAGAACATACACAAATGACTTTCTTTGGGTGTAGATGTTACCATCTATCGACAAAGCACCAAGGTGTGGCTTTTCGTTGTATGCGTAATAATACCCCTTCTGACTTGTGGACGTGCTTCTTCTCTTAGCTTTTATCACATTGCACTGCTGAAGCAGAACAACCACATGTCCAACCCGCGCCGTTCCCCTCGAGGACTACTGTGGCGGACAAGTCTTATGGGCTCGTATGAAGCGTAATGACGTCGCTGAGCTGGTCCACAGATTGAAGGTCTAGTTGCTACGATCAATCTTTGTCAAACTAGCAAGCGCCGAAGTTACGACGGTACAGGCGTGTTGCTACGTTTGATCTTCAGTTTACACTTTGCTAGGCTGAGGCGAAACCCATCAGCATAAGCTGATAGTGCTCTCATGGCCATCACGGCACGCGATACCGTGCGATATTTCACATGATCATTTGTGCGCCAAAGTCAATCACCTCATCATCGTATGTTGAAGGATGTTGCTGGCTCGACGGAATCAGCAGTGAAAGCTACAAAATGTGCTCACACAGGACGAAGCAGTCATCGCAGATGTCCCAAGCAAATTGACATTTGAGTGTCGTTTGCGATGACAGAGTGCCACTGACATCGACCAGAGACGTATACACAAATGTGTGTGAGACGACGCCATTGCCAATCTTGCTTTCCGAGGTTTCATTTTCGATCTATCCACGCAACCTGAACGCATGTCAGCTCATCAGTGCATGTTTCTCTGCCCAGGTCAGTAAAGTGGAGTGTCAGTTGGAAACACGTGGTCGAACAGTAAATGCAAGAGCACAAAAAGCGTCTGCTTAAGTGACAATACCAATTTTTTATGCTCTTAGATTGCTGTAAAGTCTGTGCCAAGGCCGTCGCTTTTACACCGGATGCGTCTGCTCGTGGTGAAGCTGCTCTAGTTTCACTTCGCATTTTGTTCAGCGGTCGGCTATCATGTATGTCGAAGTGACAAGTTGTGCAGGTTCTTGCTGGTCGCAAGCGCGGCGAGCAACCGCGTCGATGTGCTGATGGTTTTTGCAGGTCTTCCTTGCCACAGTCAAATGGAAATGGTCAGTCGGGATCTACCGTTCAGCTGCTGCTCTTTCCTTTCACTATCCCCTGTCTGTACGAGACAGCACTGGCCAAATAAATGATGATATTTAGACACTGACACATTATTCTTCGACTTAATGGTTTGCAAAATAATCGCTGAGTGCAATGTTACCTCGACCAGCTTTGTCACTTCTGCCTAAATCTCCTGTTTCATGTCACTTCTGGGTTTTGGAATTAGGTCATCGTCAAGCTTTGTTACAATTGTACCCCGAAAGATGGACCGATGAAGTAAACATTGCGACTCATTTATTTACTATAGCCTGTGGTCCACCACGCTCCACGTCGACTCCGTAGCCGTTTATCCTCTTTACCTACTGCACTCTCGATAGACACGAGGTAATCGCTGTAGCCTGATACTATATCGTATACGAACCATCGATCTTCGAATGTAAGAAGAGCCTTGAGCGTAACTTCGACGTCATTAGGACTTCGGCCCTTCGCGTTCCACTTCGCAAATTGCACTTTCTCAATCCTTTGCGCAGACTCGTATGAATCCTTTGCTAGAGAGATTAGCACTGACAACTCGTCCTGGTTATAACGAGGTCGAAGACGAGCAAACCTTAGAGCGTCCGGGTCCTCAATCTTCTCTAGAATGAGATGACCTCTCATGTACTTCCTGGTCGGGCTTGACTCAAAGATGTCGACAACTTCCGCGCAGAGTTTGGACACGACTGCCCCCCTTGCGTTAAGCAAATTGCTGGCCGAAGGTCCGGTGGGTAGCACCCGGTCTTCTTCATCTCGGCCCTCGAGTACATGAGTCTTCGGGAGTCTCTTGGCAGTCTTGTATTCATCTTCCTGAGCGCCAGGTGACGTGAATGCGAATTCCATGGAGCCAAGAGCGATGTCGGTGATGATTGACAGCATTCCACTTATACAAAGCGCTAATACGTAGCAGGAACGCATGGCTCGACTATGAAGGTGAATGGCTCGCTCGGTAAGCGCAAAACGAATAGCCAACCTGCTATGAAAAAGCGATTTGGCGACGGGAGAGCGAAATGAAGAGTGAACTTGCGGTGAGGTTGATCGGGCTTTAGAGGACACTTTCTGCGTTGTTGCTGCTAAGAAGACTGCTCACCATCACGACGCAGGCGGCGGCCAGACCAGGCTGCGAAATCAGTACAAACGAAATCGCGTCATCTTTATTTCAGGATGAGTGGGACTTAAGCGGGAAGGATTGCAACTGCTAGTTGGAATGTCGTCGTCTGCAAGGACTGCAAACCCTAGTTGGAATGGGGTCTGCACACATTTGAAACTTCCATGAGGTTCGGCAACCTTCTGCAATGGCATCTTGCTACGGTAATCCTACTCGATGCAAACATATAGCTGCGGTCATCCAAG